TCCAAGTTGTTGTACTGTGGTGCATTTTTTTAGCTTCAAATATTTCTTATAGAAAGAAATATTCGCGTTTAAATATACAACCATTGAAAAAATAAAACGTCTTGTTGAGTAGACAATTTAATGCACGCGTATGCACTCGCATATGATACGGAAGCGTAATTTTTTTCCCGAACCAATAATCCTTACCTATAAAATGCCAGGTAATTTGTTTTAGGATGATTTTATACATTCGACCTATAAACTTATATTTTTTTCTTCGGTGATTGCTACGCTTTAAAGGTACTATGTCCCTTTTGCCGCCAACCTCAAATGCTGTAGAACTTTGCAGGAATTATGAATATATCCTGTATGTCCTATCTGTGAAATTTAAAAGTTAGCAGTGTCCTCATATTCAAATTATGCAAGGAAACCCGTTGACTTGCTAGACTTCACTGTCAGACACTATTGAGTGACTGACTGGCTTTTTTTTCTTCTTTGGTAATAACATACATGAAAAGAGTTGTAAAGGGTACATGAGCATTTGTCTACATCAATAACCCACTTCTTGTGATGACCAAGATTAAACTGAATGAATCTTTGCGCAGCATAAAACGTATGATCATTCGGTACAATTGTTTGAAAATCAAGACTATTACTTTTGGGCTCTATAGCCCTAAAGTCGATTTGACAACTAATAGTCGTTATTTTCCCACTCGAAGACATTTTCAAGCCCAACCTTTTTTAGGGAAGTTCTAAATTAGTATTATCTTACAAATGCAGTTGGAATTTAACTTTTTCATTTTTTGGCCTGCAAATGGGACATAGTACCTTTAAGCACTGAATTTGTCCTGGCTTTAGATGGGCAGCCAAATATATGGGAAACGTCCAAAACAATTATTTAATTGAAATTATAACAATAATAAGACAAATATTTGGTGCAAGCTGTAATGCTCCACATATCTGACTACATTGCTATAGCCTCCGGGATATTACAAGTCACTAAATATTTTGTCCTTATAATTGGATCTTAAAAGTAAACAAAGGGGGGGGGGGAGTTATCAGCTTACGGGAATGATTTTGAGCTAGGGGTTGACTAAATTTTTCAGTTATAAAATGTTGTGAGCAAAAACTTTGTCATGTTTATAAATATTATATTTTATCATATATATATTTTATTTTTTTTGGAGGGGGTTGGCAACTACATAGTTTCAATAAATTTTCTAAATAAATCTACAAGGAGACCAAATTTTCCAGTTATGAAATGTTATGAGTGAGCAAGAACTGTTAAATTTTGTCAGTTTTTAAACATTTTATTTATGTAATTAATATTATATCAATTTGTTTTGGGGGGCAGCAATATAGTTTTACTAAATTTACTCAGTAAATCTGCAAGGAGACCCCCTCGCTCCCAAAATATGATGGACCTACTTCATCTACGGTATGAGATGTTCCCACGTAGCCTGCTTGCCTACATGTAACCTGTGCAGCTCTCCAGTCCCAGTTATCACTGCATACTGACTTCCATTGACCATCATGGAATACAGACACTCGGCTACTCTGATAGGTTGCATTGCCAGTCAACTCCACGCTGTATTCTATAATAAAAACAGTCATAGTATGTTTGGATACTTAAAGAGAAGGTTGAGTACTGTGAAAAGGTGAAACATAATTTGTGAGCGTTATCATTGTTATTATGCAAGTGTGGAAGAACATTAGATAAATAATGTTCCCTGAAGAGATTGGCTATTCAAATGCCTTTATATTCTAAATATGTAACAGCTTAAAAAATGGGACGGATTTTTATGCCTCATGTTCGTGAAGTCCCATATACATATTTCTGTGTGAAGTGCTTGTAACCTTTACCAAAACTGGGCCTAACTTCTTATCATGTTGATGATTCCCGAACATTGCAGTCTACACCAATACTTATATGCTAAATGATCAACCTATTCTGATTGATTCCACATCGTTTCTTTCCGAATGCAATCGCATGACCAGGGGGTGTTTCACAAAGATACTAAGTTGAACTTATCTTTAAGTTGTACTTAACAATTATGGAAAGCCGTTAGCATCCATGAAAATATTTTGTACAAGTTATTTTAAAAGACATAAAATGTTGATTCAAATCATTCATATTTTCTATTATCAAGAAGATTTCGTGTTCTTGATGTGGAATTTACTTAAAAGTCTAAAATACTCTAATTTTCGCTATGAATATAGTATTTTTTAAGGCTACAAATGGCTCTCCATAATTTCTAAGTCCAACTTAGAGTTAAGTTCGACTTATGATCTTTGTGAAACACCCCCCTGATCTCAACTTTATCTTTAAACGCTTGCTTCCAAGACAAACAGAATCAACAAAATATCCATATTTGCGTTTCACGAAAATCAGCCGGGACAGCAATTCATATTGAACTACCCCCTGTAACGGGAGAATAGGAGAAGATAAAGACATGGGGTAGCATTCTAAGATATATTTTATCTCAGATAAACTTTAAATGTATATATAGTGGTATTCTGAGAATCAATAAGCAAGTTTTTATCTCATCTAAGACACTCCTGTTTTCCTAGGGTTCCATTAGGGAGACTTTAAAAACACTGCAACACCATCGCATGTATCTTTATATGCAGTACATTGCTAAGACCTATTTAGATGCGATGTTTAACTAAAACATTGCTAACACTTATACGGGTTAGAACTTGGACATTGCTAAGACCTATTTAGTTAAGATGTTAAACTATTACATTCCCAAGACCTAATCGAGTTAGATGTTTTACTAGTAGAATGCTAATACTTATCCGGGTTAGATGTTAACTATTTAGTAGTACATTATTCATGAGCTATCCGGGTTAGATGTTAAACTAGTGCAGTACCAAGACCTATCTGGGTTAGGTGTTAAACTAGTACACTAGAGTGCTAAGACCTATACGGTTTAGATGATAAACTAGTAGAGTAATATATAATAAGACCTATCCGGGTGATTTTTGAAACTAGTAGAGTGCTAAGACCTATCCGATTTGGATGTTAAACTAGTATATCGCTAACACTTATCTGGGTTAGATGTTAAACTATTTAGTTGTACATTGCTCATGACCAACCCTGGTTAGATGTTAAACTAGTGCAGTGCAAAGACCTATACGGTTTAGATGATAAACTAGTAGATTGCTAGGATTTATCTGGGTGAGATGTTAAACTAGTAGAGTGCTAAGACCTATCCGGGTTAGATGTTAAACTAGTAGAGTGCTAAGATCTATCCAGGTTAGATGATAAACTAGTACAGTGTTTAGACCTATCCGGGTTAGGTGGTAAACTAGTACAGTGCTAAGGCCTATCCGGGTTAGATGAAAAACTAGAACATTGCTAAGACTTATCCGGGTTAGATGATGAACTAGTAGAGTGCTAAGAACTATCCAGGTTAGATGATAAACTAGTAGAGTGCTAAGACCTATCCGGGTTTGATGATAAACTAGTAGTACATAGCTGGGATTTATTTGGGTTAAATGATAAACTAGGACATTGCTAAACACCTACCCCGGTTAGATATTAAACTAGTACAGTGCTAAGGCCTATCTGGGCTAGATTTTAAACTAGTACATTGCTAAGACGTGTCCGGGTCGCATGATAAACTACTGGTAATGAGTCGCTAAAATATAATAAGTAGAGCATTGCCGATATCCATATGGTCTAATTAAACTTGTGCATTGCTGAAACCTTCATATACCTGGGTTTAACTGTTAAATTATTGCCTTCCAAAGTATATCTGATTACAATGACAATAGTATCGAGGTGGTATTCGAAAATTTATGTTATTTTTATGTTAGGAAACAATGTTAATTATCATAACGAATCTAGAGTAGGACAAGTCATTGGTATATGTCCGTGGAAAGATGGCTGCGTTAGCATAATGTGAAAAGACGCAACTGCGCAAGTAGTGTTAGTTTTGCACAATTAGAGTTTGTTAGAACAGTTCACATCTTTTTTCATTAACATAAATGAAATTTTCCAGAATACGTCTTCAGCACTTGGGCAATACATCTAACCATCCTTCAACCACAAACTTACCAGCATAAGAATTTTGCTCACATATAACACTGCTGTCATTATCATGTGTGCAGTCTGATAGTAGAGTTCCGTGTGCTAAGGGACAGTCATGAAGCGTCAACTCAGTCCCACGGCAGTTATACCCTGTAGATACCACACGGTAGGAATTCCTTCCGAAGAAAGCCTAAAGACATGGCAGTTCAAAGGTGTAAGTTTCGTCTTCGAATTTGGATGAAGTAGTTATAACAAGATCGTAACTACTTTCTAGAAATCAATGTTAGGGCAATTTCAGAACCAACTCATCTATCTCATAGACATCATGTTCGGATTACATAATTGATTAATAATTGATTAATGTAATGCATTTTGTACATTTCAATAGGTGATGCGCAAGGATATTGAAATCGCCTTAATCAGGTGATTTTTTGTTTGTTTAAGTAGTTGCAATCGGGTTGTATTATAATCGATCTCATAATAAACGATAAATGTATTCTTGAAATAATTCTTACAAATGACTACATTCCTAATGTTCTCATGAAATAGTAAAATTCACAAGAAGTAAAAATGTAATTTAGTTGCAAGAATAGAAATGGCAGTATGACGTTATTCATGACTTTATCATTATGGTAAAATGGCATTAGATTCATAGAGATAAGTTGACGAACTTCAGGTTTTAAACTAACTATGCCTACAACGCTTTTTGGACGACACCCCCCCCCCCCGAAAGAAACATATAAACAATCTTGGAATTCGCCTTTCTATTCGTTTAACACTTTTAATAAGCCTGGGAATAATGTTTAGATAGTGGGATCGCTCTACAAATCAAATATTTCAAGTGAGGCGGGATAGATTTCATTGCGCCTAACATGTAGGCAAGTATGATATTAATTATATATATGTATATATGAGTGTGTGTGTGCGTATGTGTGTGTCTTTATTATCTGGTAAACAAAGTGTAAGGAACCACATGGATGTGACATTAATTTACCCCTTTCTTAGCGTAGGTGGCGCGTTTAAATCCGACTTGTCTGCAGACTACATGAGCATCTTCAATATCCCAGGCTACATCACACACTGATCCCCAGCGCTCTCCAGTAAACATCTCTACTCTGCCTGCATACGGGACGTTACCATTCACAAGACGAACAGCTCCACTCACTGATCATATGGATATGACAAAATTAGGAAGTAGATAAACATGTCAAATATCAATCAATGCCCCCACAAAAAAATTGATAGCCAAACAGAACCAACAGAAATTTGACAATCAAATTCCTCGACTTCAATGACCCATTTTTTAAAAACTTTTTCCATGACCAGATAAGTACAGTTTTTGGAAGGGTTGAGGCAGCCAAGCGGAGAATTGATTACCATGGAGTGATATTATCACGTTTGTGGTGGCCTCAGTCTCCCCTCACAATTTGCATGACAGTGAGATATTTGTTTTGAATTTTTGAATTCTCCAAATGGTCGTTTCTAACTATAGACCAATCTCATTACTGCCTAGCTTTTCTAAAGTTTTGGAACGAATTGTTTATAACAGGCTCTACAGTTTTTTAGATAAATGTGAATCATTGAATCCTGATCAATTTGGATTTCGGCGGTCTCATTCTACAGATCTTGCGCTACTGAAATTTTATGATCGCGTTTCAAGTGCACTCGCTGCTCACGAGCATGTCATTGGTGTATTTATGGATCTGAGTAAAGCATTTGACACACTTGACCATTCAATTCTTCTTTCTAAGTTAGAGCATTATGGAATAAGGGGCATAGCTTTACAATGGCTTGCGAGTTACTTATCTATGAGAAGACAGTACACTTATTATAACTCTGTTAACTCTGACATTCTGTATCTTAAATGTGGTGTTCCGCAGGGATCCATCCTGGGCCCATTATTATTTCTTATTTATATCAATGATATTTGTAATGTATCTAAAACTTTAAATTATACCTTATTTGCAGATGATACGACTGTTTTCTTGTCTCATCGTGAAATCAACACTCTAGAACAGAAACTAAATTCGGAACTACCAAAGTTGACTTTATGGTTTAGAAGTAATGTGCTCTCTCTCTCAATGTTCTTAAAACAAATTATATTCATTTTAGAGGTAGAAAATCTAATGACAACCTTGCTCTTAATATTAAACTAGATGATATTTCTTTAGAGAGAAAGACATGTACGAAATTCCTTGGTGTCTATATCAATGAAAAACTTGACTGGAGCGACCACGTAAAACACATTGTTACACCAATCTCCAGAAATATTGGCGTACTGTATAGAATAAAATGTTTTGTTTCTGATAGAATATTACTTATGCTATATAATAGTCTAATTTTACCACACATTTCTTACTGTAATATTTTGTGGGCAACATCCAAGTGTGTGACTAATAATATTCTTCTGTTACAAAAGAAAGCTGTACGCATATGTACCCGAGCTGGTTATCGTGACCATGCTACCCCACTATTTGTTAAACTGAAATGCTTAAAGATTGATGATATTAACTTCCTCCAAATTGCCATATTTATGTTCCGTTTTAATATCAAATTATTACCTACGTCATTATCTTCAATGTTCCAACCTAATAACATGGTTCATTCGTATTCAACAAGGCATTCATTGAATTTACATGTGATCAATCCTCACACTACATTAGCCCAGAAATCAATCAGACACAGAGGTCCAGATGTATGGAATTCTTTACCTAATGATATTCGAAATATTAAATCAACAAACTCTTTTAAAAGAGCACTCAAATGTATTATCATTTCACAGATGTAAGATATTACTTACATTATAATCTATTTATCAGTTCTAATTAAATCTAACGTAATTTTGTTACTAGGCCTAACGAATTTTTTTTTTCTTCTTTTTTTTAAAAACTTTGTAAATAGTGTAAATAGTTCACTACAAAACTTTAGGAATTTTATTTGTCATATATTATATATTTTAAAGGTGTTCTATTTGCTTATGTTTCATCACCTTTGTGTGTTCATTCTTCAAACTGTATATAAGTTGCAACTTGTCTTTGATAAAACAATGTTATATTCTTTTTCACGTGAAGTTAATTCAAATGTATTGTAAAATTGAAAATGATTTGTCATCTTATATTAATTTTCATGTGATGTTAACTTCAATGAATTGTGAAATTGTGAACATGCATAAATAAATAAATAAATAAAAAATAAAAAATTGATGTTACTCTTAAAACGGAACCAAACAAATTGAAAACCCATGATATAGAATAGTCATTTATATTATAAAGTTATTAAAACTTGAAAGTCTGATTATTATAGGCTAATGCAAGACAAACTTAAAAGATAAACGTTGACGATAAAATGAAAACTACAGCAAACACTATAAACATATATAGTGTGAAAGAAGGTACCAAATTTCGTTCCATCACACACAACGCCTACGTCGTCATTATGAGAGCAGCCCACAGTGTTTTCAAAGTTTGAACCGACATTGCAGTCTCTCAGCGTTGCCGAGAATGCTGGGCATTGTATGTCCTCTACTATATCACCTGCACCAGGACCAAACGAGTGCTGAAACATGAAAATACATGGTTCTTATTTTTGTTATTACATCTTGGTTTGTGAAATTATCTCAGTATTATTGCGAAGATTTAAGTGAAACAAGGAAAATTACTTCTTCTTTTTTTAAATTTGATTTATTGGTTTCTGCATCTTTCTTTCTTTCTTTTTCATCATACATTTTCATGAACATAATATGGTTTTGATAAATTAGTTAATGATACCAGTTCTGATTCTCATTTTTTATATAAAAAAAAGAAGAACATTTCATCACTGTTTTCATCGCTCATGAAAGGCATATTACATGTATATCTGGCTGTACGAAATCGTTTTCGTATACATTGATAAAAGAAAAATATATAAATAAATCAGTAATCCCATAAATGCGAAGGTTGATAATAATCTCAGTTCTATTCATTGACATTTTGAAAAGGACTTCACTTATCATAGCCGACTCAAAATCGAATTAAGCTAACTTACAGATCATTTTAATATTTTGTATCACCACAGACATGAAAGAGTAGACTAATTTAAATATCTAGTTAGACTATGTACTTACCATAGACAATGCCACGCCAGTATAGCCTAGCTCATGACATAAAACTCTAGCCTCATCATCACCCCAATGTCCACATACAGTCCACCAACTGTACTCATGAAAGATCTCAACACGTCCGCTATATGCATCATCACCATCTACTAATCTAACCTCACCATCTAAATACATAGGATACAACCAGACTGAATATTAAAGAAACGAATTTTGAATAGATGAGGGAGAAGGTAAAAGTGGGAGAGCAGGCATGAAGACACAGGAAAGAACGATGTAAGAGAAGAATAAGGAAGTATAGAACTGAGATTTTAATATAATAGTTATAAAAGGGAAAGTAGCTCGTTGATATCGATTGTGATGTTAAATTCATTTTATCATATTTGTAGTAATATCTTAAGCATTTTCTTCACTTTTTGAGTTTGAACACTATGGGAAATCTTTACAGTTCGTAATTCTTGTTTCTTGATTTATTATCAATATGTGGCCAAATTGCAGTTAAGCAAGAGAGTATTATTAACCAAACTTTCTTTTTTTATTCTATATCTAATCCACCTCCCTTTCGCTGTCTTTTATCTACCATAGTGATTATGTTATTATCCCCTTCCCCGTTTGTTAGAAATCTCTCTCTACATCTTAAGCAAAACAAGTGTGAAAAGAGTGTCAGTCTTCTTCTTCTTCATCACCATCACATTCTTCTCATCTTTCTTCTTCTCCTTTCTGACCTCCGTCTTCCCCATCACTTACACTCTTCCTATTATCTTCTTGTCTGCATTATCCTGTGATGATTATTTTATTAAAATAATTCATATAACACCGATGTCTTTGGTGATATACCAACCTGGCGGAGCACATATAACCCCTGCATCATCCGAGTGTGTGCAGATCGAATGTTCATCATAAGAACAGCTAAGGAGCGCATCTTCTAGACCAGTACATCCTACATTGCTTGCAAACACATCACCTGTTCCTCCACCATAGGAACTCTGTATGGGAAACATCATGATGTATTTGTATTTGTATTTATTCAGACATTCAGTAAAAAAAAAAAAAACACTAAGATGTCTGGGGATGCAGCAAATGCATCCGGAAAAGATTCTGTGAGTGAGTTTGTTTGAAGTAAATTTTCGTTATATCTCTAAAAAAATAAGATGATTTCAAAGAACATAGCACATATGAATATACTTTAGACTCATCGAATGCATGTGGACTAAAAAGTGAAGAACTCCCATTTAAATTTTATTTATCTTAGCTTTTAGCTTCTCAGAGGTATAAGCCTACTTTTAGTATTCATTATTTGGGGAGGGGCTACTTGATAGACGCACTCAATCCAATGAGATGCAGAAGGAATACATGTACGACTAAGCTAAAGATAAAGATGAAAAGTTACAAATCGTTTTCTTTCTCAACAATCGAAACATTATGCAAATAATTACGGCCATTAATTGCGTTTGATTACTGAATAGCTATTTTAAATTGCACTACCACGACCACTTCATCAATTTGTGAGATGTCATCGTCAGGCACATAGCCAGAGTTTGATGTTTGGGGGGGGGGGGCACATACATGTAATCGATCGAGTAAAAAAAAGGGGTCTAAAAAAGTTCAACCGATCTTGGAAATTTTTAAAATGGAACAGAAGAGAGACAAATAGATGTGAATTGAGAAAGACATAAACATACATTATGCGTAACTTGGACGAGTCCTTCATAACCCATCTGTCTGCACACCACTTCACCTTCGTTATCATCCCATCCCTCATCACAGAATGTCATCCAACCTCGACCATCATCTATCCAGATCTCTACACGGCCTTCTTGGGCATTGCCTCCATCTACCAATCGAATGTTACCAACTGTGAAAGAAAAGAGAATTATCTGCAACCAATTAATCGCGTTTCAAAGGGATTTGTTAATGCAATTAGAGTCAGATATGATCCAATACACCGCCGGAAAAAAAAATATAATAATAACAATAACGAATGGTAAATGTGTACGACTCAAGTCATACGGGTATTCACTTAGCTCCATGTAATAACAATAATAATAATAATAGGCATTTCTATAGCGCCATCTATCTAGAAATTCTATTCCGAGGCTCATTTATTATTACAATTTACAATTTAAAGCGTATTACACTTTGCGTCATTATTTTTTTTTTTTTAAATACCTCAGTTTTCCACTGCCCAAAGTGAGTAAATTCGCTCGTCTCTTATAGTTTGGAACAATCATGAAATACCATGCAACATTTGAAATAACATGGCAGCACATCAGTTCAAAATGTCATGTCAGCAAGATATAAGATAATAAAAGATATGTTCCCCCCCCCCTCCCTCCCCCCCCCCCCCCCACCAAAAAAAATAATAATAATAATGAGTAACTACCCGGGGTAACTACCAACGGAACTTTAAGGATTTGTGGCTGTGATAGGAGTCAACTTTTCATGAAATGTTATGTCTTGTCTTCAACATCCAAAATTATGGCGAACGCATATTGATAATCTAATCACTCTATACAATATATTTTTATACAAGTATACTAAACGATGATTATTTTGTTTGAAACGGTTCTCTTTTTTCATCAATATAGAAAAGAATATATGCCCCATTTAACCATATGAGGGAATAAACAGAGTAAAATGGTATATCCTTCCTGTAATATGTATGCCATGAATGCAGGAAAGGTACCTGGGTGTTAAACTCAAGATTGTATGATAGGGATGGAAAGATTGAAACTTACCGTCATGATTTTGGCATATGACGCTAGCGTCTTGATAATGCGAGCAATAATTTCGAGTCCATGGTTGGTGTGGACAATCAGCTAAACGAGTCTCTGATCCACTACATTGTAACTCATTCAGATGAATACTGCCTCCTCCCTGGCCAAAGTAAGCCTGCTCAATGTAATCAAAATGAGATAACTTGAGAGAGGAAAATATTTCATTTTTTGAAACTATAAACCAGATTTGAATTTTGGTATTATCTATCTGTGGAAAAGCGAGTAATCCCTACCTAGGGAGGAACATGTTACTTGCCAAATCTCAAATCTCATTCAACAAAGGCATTCTGATATGAGACAAAAACGATTATTCAAACTCCTTTCAACTACACAGAGAACAAATTGTACTAGGCCCTCATACATTCCCTTTATCGGCCTCATTACGTCGTGAAAAATTAGTGCGATTAGAGAGAGAGTTCATAATTGTACTGTGCGATAAGTGTATGGGTTATAGGACGCCTACCCCCTGGTTAACCACCCTCTGGATAACCACCCCTAAGATAACCACCCTCTAGGACAACTACCCCATAGGACAACTACCCTTATCCTAGGGGTGGTTATCCGGGGATGGTTGTCCTGGGAGTAGGTGTCCGGATACGAAGTGTACGCGGTATACGAGAATAGGATATACATAAATATTCCTGTATCTCCCAACATTTGAGGTCGTATATGATCTGCAAACGATCTTCACTGATATACAAAAAAGCACCAATACTTGTAATTACCGCTTAATTCCTCATGATAGATGTTAAAGGCAGGGTATTTTAATACCGACTTTGCTTCCACTGCTGTTATGTATTTTCAATTGCGCCATCTTTTGATGAAGGCGTAAATAGAGCGATTTCCAGTTCCTGTACCAAAGCATCATCACGCGCGCGTTACCAGTAATTGAGGCAGTGTTGGACGTGGCTGTCGACACATCGGGACATTGTGAGGTGCAGATGGCAGTATACATGTATTTATCTGAAAAAGTGTCTGTAGAATACCCTTCATTTGAAAGCACTCACCATTCTCAAGGCTTGGACAGCTCCAGGGAATCCTAGTTGTGTGCAAGCTACAATGGCATCTTGTTGATCCCAACTATCATCACAAACTGTTCCCCACTGCCTCCGATAATAAACTTCAACTCGCCCTTCATTCGACACAGCACCACCTTGTAGTCTTATATCACCATCTTAAAATACAAATGGAGAACAATCATTGTTCAACTAATCCCCAATAAGCAATTTCGTAAATACTATCTGCGCATAGTCAGATAAAGGTCATTTGTTCCAAAATTGTAAAAACCCATCGCGACCAATACTGGTATTACGTAATCATTATTCATTTATGCACCGACAGTGCATTTATCTGATACACAGGTGGAAGTATTCCACAAACAAACATACAAAAAGGTAATCATGAGAACCTCCATCACTTCGGCGGTGATTATTCTAAAATGCACAAGAGGGACGTATCCATCGTATAAAAGATCTGTGGATTTTTTGGGGTCATGCGTACCGAAGCTATTTAAAAACTGGCTTATTGGCAAAAATGTAGATGGGTTTCCTAAACAAATTTCCTTTTGTATCATTATGTGTCTTTTTTTTTTGTTTTTTTGTTTGTTTGTTTGTTTGTTTGTTTGTTTTGTTTTTTGTTTTTTGTTTTTTTTTTTGGGGGGGGGGGGGGTCTGTAACTCATATTTCATTCTTTGCTTGTCCCTAGAGTAATTTTGTTTAGGCATTTAGGAGGGACACCAGTTGGTCTCATCCAATGAGACTGGAAAGGAACTCACACAAGTTTGATTCCATATCTTCTGTACCGTGCAATAGTATAATGATAAATATTTGGTGTTATATACCTAGGGTAGCCTCAACAGTATTAATACTGCTTTTCCTGCGGGTCCTGCAATCATCATTACCCAGTAATTGACATTTTTTAGTAACCTTTTACAACGTGCTGGAAAGTGGAGAGTGGCAAATGTAAACTGATGTTTTAATTTATATAGTCCGGTCTGGGATTCGAACCTTCGGATTGTAAGTCAAGTGAATAAACCACTATACCAATACTTCCTGAAAAAAGTCGAAATGCCTGAAACTTAAGCCTGAACATACTGAAAGGCCTGAAAATTGGTATCCCTGCTCAAGATACAAAGATACATGTATTTCATCAATAATTCCTTCAACTTCTTACCATCCGGCGCATGGCAAGAAACTGTAGCTTGTCCAGTATCACATACGCTGTGATCATGCACCACTTCACATTGAGTTAACGAAGTCTCGTCACCTTCACAGTCAAAGTAGGTACTGATCATTTGACCTCCACCACTTCCATGATTGCTCTGGTATCATATAAATATATAATAGAGCAAACATACATGTACTAAAGGGAAATGTAAATGCATGTTTATTATATTTAGGGAAGGTTTACTTTATTGAAATGGGGTCGATCTACAGCTTCCATGTCTAAGTAAATATCATTCCTCCTTTCGTTCTATAAATGTTCACTACATGTTAATCATTGTCATAATTTTTCATCCTTGCTTTTGTAAGATCCTTCATTACAAATAAACGTAGCTGTACAAAAAGGAGCTTTACTGATACACAATGCTATTGTTTATTAAACAATTTCCTTGCTATTCGCTAAAAGTGTCCTGTCTGTACAATGTAATGTGTGCTCTCTTCAAGTATAAAGAGGCACACTGAGCACCAAGTACAAGGTAATTCATGACTACCGCCAAAGGAATAAAGTCCAAAACCTAAATATTATTGTTTCATTTGTGTATAAAAGGTCAACCAAAACATGGCGCTATACCTCTTACATCTTCCCTTTTTTACAAAGTTGCAGGGATTGACTTTATCGCATAAATTCAATCATTTTCAACTGTTCGATTTTTTTTAACAAACCTGCTACGTTAACTGATACATTAATATCTGTGTGTGTAATTACTGACATCAACAACATTACCCTAAGCTTTGAGTTAATAAGAACATAACATTTTCTATTACACTTGTGTGACATTCCTAGCTCAAATAGAAACAAGGCGCCAACAAATCCAACTCCTAAAGAAGAAAAAAAGGAGTAGGAGAAGGACGCGAAGCAAAAAGAAGAAGAACGAGAAGAAGACATTTATTTTCTCTCCAAAGTAACTTTGTTTGAAATCCTGTTTTGATATAACTCACTGCACCATGCCCTTGGAAATGGGAGAAGCCTAGCTGTCTGCAAGCAACGGTAGCATCCTCAGAATCCCAATCAGAAGCACATAGAGACCACCACACTCCGTCATTGTAGATCTCTACTTCACCTTCACGCAATGTCCCATTTACAAGTCGTACATCACCGTCTAGATCGGGCAATAGCAATATGATTGGATGTTTAATTAAAAAACATTTACAAGTCATAGACCACAGTCTATTTGAAAATAATGTATAGGGGTCGTTTCGTTGCAACTCCTCACAATATGATATACTAATAATCGAGAATATATTCATTCCGAATTTATCGTTTCTAATGAATTGGTGTCAACATAAAACATCCTTAATTGATCTACTTATCTCCGTGTTTTAAAACATTGCCATACTCTCGCAGCTTTCAAGAAGTGTCTAAAGAAACATCTTTTTGAATTTCTCTTAATATTTATCTTTGTTTCTAATTAGTTTAAACTTCGTATGATAATGTTCTATTTTGTTCAGAAGTATTTGTTGTTTCCTCATTGTATTTAATGCAAAGGCACTTTATAAATGAAATGTTGTTATTGTTTTATTATTACTACATGAATGTGTCTAAAGAACTGCATCAAATTCAGGTAATGTGGGTAGATTTTTATAAATGACCAGTTCAATACGTTTCAAATGGTGTAACCTAAATATATCAAGGCGTTATTGGTCTTGGTGTAAGTGACCAGTGCGGACTTTAAAAAACAAAATGGAATTCATCGAGACGCGTCATTTGAGTGTGACATCATAAAAAAGTGAATGCAAATGAAAAGTGCTAATAATGCTTTTAACAACCTTCGTAGGCTTGATTATCGCAGGTAATTACATAATTGAAATAACATCTTGTGTGTAACCTGCATTTGAAATCTGCCCAACGTTTCCTTTTCCCACCTCCTCTCCCGATCTTTACCCTGTCTCCGTAATGCCGTCTATGCTTTTATCCCTGGAAGCCTTCTTTTACCTTAGGCTCCTTTGTATTCTCTATAATTCCAATTACAAGTAACTTCAAGCAAACCAAAATGATTTGATATATTATATGTATTTATGTTTACCAATACGTCTATGCAATATTGTTATTATTTTGAAAATTCGAAAATGACGTTTGAAATTTGAAAATGAACTAAACTGAACTAAAACTACCACTCATAAACGTTAATATTTCATTGAAATCAAAGTTATGGAGTTTTTGATCAAGTAGGACACTTTGAAATGAGTGATTCCATGTGAATTTATTATAGATGTTAGGTTGCCATGTTCAAGCTATTAACGTACCCATCGGCGGAATACAAATGACACTAGCGTCCTCATAATGAACGCAGTTATGTTGATAAAAATCAGCTCCATGACAGTCGATCAGCCTCGACTCATCGCCTCTACAATACAGGTCGTCTAGAAAGATAGCACCAGTTCCTGCACCGAAATAGGCCTGGTTAGGAGAAAAGCGGTAAAGAAATTGAAAGGGAAACATGCAGTTACCAACAATAAACACTGTCATATATTGAACTTACCCTTTTTTAAAATACTTTATCGCAATAACATGTAAATTGACAAAGGAGATCTTAGTTTAAAATGTATTAATAAACAAAAACGAAATAAAAGTATTCATAATTCGACCTCGGTTTGAGTACTTAACACTTGCCATTTTTTTTACATATTAATAGAGCATAAATATTTACTTGTTAATCCGCACAGGTAATATCAGACGGGAAAACCCCGGTCATACAAGGATGATCAATCTGGATTTCACATAGATTTTCTAAATTTAAAACAGTGAATCGCCCTTGGACTGATCAACATTTATATCACAATCCATATATACCCACATGACCGTCCAAAAGGCTTGGACAATTTACTACTCGCAATATATTATTATGAAGATAAAGGTGTCGTAGTCGAGTAGTTTAAATACTTGACTGGATATTTGAAGGTTGTGGGTTCGAGCCCCGGCGCGTCAATAGCGTCCGTTGGCAAAACATTAATCTAAATTTGCCATTTTACATTTGTCTCCAACTAGGGGTTAACCGGCCGCGGTAAGGAGAAATTCTTACAATGCTGTGAGTACCAAAAACGGTAGCCTCACTAGAGACGGGTTAATATAAGAGTGCCTTGCGCCTTGATACCTTGCGTGGTGGATAAGTGCGCCATGAAATATCCATCATGATTATCACTAATTCAATTCAATTCAAATGAACATTTATTTTCTTCCATTCAATTTGACAACATACTATATTTTACATCTGTTCAAACAATACAATTTATACGTAGGAACATAAATATATTTAACGAACTTGTATTACAAGGAAGAAGGCGCGAAACCCGATAAGCAGAGCTTGTAATGGGTATGACCGAATACACACAAATACATAATATGCATCATAAATAGAAGAAAGGAAGAAAGGGATAGGCAAAGAGGAGAGAAGGATAGAGAGCTTGGAGACAGAGAAAAGAAGAGAGGAAAAGAAGAGGACTGCGACATACTTAGCACTGGAGTGAACATTCCAGGCAGCGCCGCCTTGGTGACAATCCTATCAACCGCTCAACCCTTATTAAAAGCCATGATGAATTGAGGTTTTCTGGTCTGTAAAGATGCAGAAAACACTTACCCTATGCGGTGCATATCTAGCTCCTGTATACCCGAGCTGTCTGCATACCACGGTGGCATCGTTTAGATCCCAGGAATCATCGCAAACCGTTCCCCATTGTCTGTCATGGAAGACTTCAACCCGTCCCATGTACGACATTCCTCCACCACCTACCAGCCGTAGAGCTCCATCTACAGGTACATAATAGGGACTTTTAGATTTGCACGTCGACATTGGGACTGCTACGTGTGACGTACTTTCAAAACGCGGGCAGTGCCTTAACAGGACGTAACAGTGCCTTAAATGGACGTCACACGTAGTAGTCCACTATGTCGACGTGCAAATCTAAACGTCCCTAATGGTTTGTACAGAACGGCTGTCATTAATTAAAAAAACTTAATAACTGCCAAGTGAATGATCTGAACAGATCAAATTTGTAGAAAAAGTCCGATGAGGACAAAAGCTTAAAACAGACATAGCCTGCGTCATAATTTGTTTCACACTATGGTTGATAACAATAATAGTAATAATTATGATTACAGTAATTATAACACGCATCTACCTCTCACAAAACAAGTCATACCAGAAAATGTGTATAACTTGTGTTCGTTCAAATGTACGACTTATTTTCATTTAACTTTTTCTCTGCGGAAACGTATTGGCCTCAGTAATTACTCTATGCTGATTGAGAAATCTATTTGTCAATTAACGGGTTTATATCCTTTGAACTAAAATCGCACTGTACAGGTTTGGAAAATGTAACATTTGCATTGAGCGTGCATTTTTGGTTATATTCGCCGTCGGTGCATTTTTTTTAAAGCTTAGTATTGTTTGGATATACTTGTTTTTTGTTGGTTTTGTTAGACGGCCTCTTGGTAAACGTAACTAGTCTAGAAGTAGAAGTTAGATGGGGATTTTACAATGCTTTAAATAAATAAATGAATAAATCTATATGTATGTATGTATTCTCCTCACCACTTGATGGTGGATAACATCTCACGCCAGCGTCTTCCATGTGTATGCAATTATGACTGTACATCCCGACATGAGAGCAGTTTAGTAAGCTTGACTCTGTTCCTAAACATCGTACGTCGTCAAGAAGGATGTCGATATTGAGTCCCTCACCAAAGTAAGCCTAATTAATTGAAAGTAACACCCAGTTCATTGAAGTCGTTGTACTACTAACACTTCGTATTTTGAATATTCATTATTGAACAAGAATGAAATATACTTCACACAGACATCGATAAGAAATCCATACAATATACAGATACAAAAATAGCAATCATATAACATAACAGCAAGATAAATTAGATATACTCAAACTAATGGTGTTATTATACAAAACATTACATTTACTAAGTCGGATATCTCAACCATTCTTGTATTAGAAATGCATTCTTTTCAGCGCCATATCTTGTAGTCGGCCATTATAATGGCGAAATTCATCTCCAACTTTTCTCGTATTAAAATCATGACAAATTCGAGGATGACAGGTTTATGTTTTCCGGTTTCTATTTGTAAGTTTATTAATTGATTATCAATGATGGAATTTGTATGTTTGTGTTTGTATTTGTAAGCCATCAAATCGAACTTCTACCCGTACAAAACAACATAATGGTCTGGAAATTCGATCTCAATATAAATCATCATTTAACTTGAGTAATGCAAATGTGAAATGATCTTCGAGCATGAACCTTCAACAAATGTAGCCTACATGATGTATAAAGTCAGTCCAAAATAATGAAGTCAACTCACCCTCCCAAAATGGACTCCGTGATAACCTGGCATCACTTGATTACAGACAACCATTGCATTTTGGTCGTCCCAGTAATCATCACAAACTGTTCCCCATGACCCTTGATAGTAGACCTCTACCCGGCCTTCCAAAGAGGTTGTCCCGCCTTCTAGTCGAACATCACCATCGTTATCTAGCATTAAATGGATAAAGTGGTTGTGTTATAGGACTATGAATTATGATATGATAGTCTAAACAAATAATTATTAAAAAAACACTTTACAAAATATTTTGTAAATTTCTTAACGTTAGATCTTGATATATATTTTAATGATAGTGTAGACAAAAAGTCTACATCTAGATCTAGGTTATATAGGTGTAAGTGTCACTTTTAGTTAGACGTACATGCAGTTCTAATCTAATTTCTGATAAGACCTAAAAAGATTAGACCGAAAAAATCAGACTATTTCGTACGGGGATATGTTCCGTTGAGACTACGTCTGGCTTCACAAAATTCCCCTCTTTGGAGTAGAGCGTCAACATACTAAATATATCTAGAAATTAGAATAGTCTAGATCTAGCTTTAATAATCTAGCTTTTTTCTTAAAATAATTTTTTTGAGGGCAGATGGCATTATATAGGGAAAATTCTGCAGAAAACAAAAACCAGAAACATAATACATGTTTGTAGAAAAGATATCTCCCAAATTATTTGTTAAAGTAAAAAAAAAAATAATACTTTTTACTCTGTACATGTTTATTTTCAAATATTTGTAATGTTTCAAGCAGTTGCATGATGGTTCTTTGCTACAAAATCCATCATTTCCCATAATTGTCGTATAATAGTGGGTTTACGTCCCGGTCTAAGTTTTTCTTAAACTCCTCAAAGCAGAAAGACTAGTAGTAGTAGCACAAGCCTGTAGCAGAATATAAATGACATCTCCAATCGAAAGAGGAACATAAATCAACACAAAAACGGAATTTTCTCTGGAATTGGGTGTAAAATTATGGAAATATTGACAAAAGATCGGCACATTTTTTCAGTCATTTGCGTCCGTTCCGAAATATTTTTAATTTACCATCATCATCATCATCATCTTACTCTCCCTCCATTGTTTCGGAGATCAGCGATCCTAAGGGCGACTCTATTATACAGTGCGTCCCAGAAAAAAACGAAACCGAGAATTATCGATGTTTTATCATAACTTAGAGACCTAGTCATAATTAAAATTTATAAAATACACATATTTTAAAAGCTTTATTCCTCTTCTTTCATTTAATGCAACTCGCATGATGCCTCTTCAAATGACACCTCAACCAGCCGTGCATGAATTCTTTCGACAAGATCTAGCGTATGGCTGATCTTCAACGAAACGGAATTAAGTCTTTTGTCAATTCCGTTTATTGCTACGACAGGCACCCAGTGAAAACGAATTCGTTTAATCAAATTATGGAAATGCAAGCACTACTTTAAATGAACAGAACTTTGTTATTCCTTACTTATTTTCCCTGGTTGAGGTGTCATATGAAAGGGCAAAAACTGAAGTTTCTAGAAATGTGATTTTCCCTTTGAAATTCAGATACCGTCCGCCAAATGACTTTTTGGTTTCCTCTCTTCAAATTGATTTGAATCACTCATGCGTGAATATGCATCATATGAGTTGCAATAAATGAAAGAGGGGGGATCTAAGCTTTACAAACATGTGTCATTTATTAATTATCATTGTGATTAAGTAATGATAAAAGTTAAAACATCGATAGAAAGTTCTCGGTTTCGTTCTTTCTGGGACGCACTGTAGCGTATGCCTATAACCAGTGGCGGATCCAGCCGGCGGGAAGAGGGGGGGGGGGGGGGGCAATCCGTGACAAAATATTAGTTGCGACTCAGCCACCGGTGAATAAGCAGGGGGGGGGGGTAGGAGGCACTTTTTTTTGGTCCAATTTTTCAGGAAATATTTTGCGCCGACGCAGTCAGCCGGTGAATAAGCGGGGGGGGGGGGGGGGTGAGACCACTATTTTTATTTTTTTTACCTAATTCGTGAGATTTTTTTTTTTTTTTTAATTCTTTTTTGTTGACCCGTCAGCCCCCCCCCCCCCCGTGGATCCGCGCCTGCAGAGGATCCAGACGGTGTGAAGGGGGGGGGGGGGGTAGCCAAATCTTAATACAAAATTTAGTGCCGACTCAGCCGGCCGGCGAATAAGCGGGGAGGGTGGGGGGGGGGGGTAGGAGGCACTTTTTTGGGGGTCCAATTTTTCAGAAAATTTTCGCGCCGACGCAGTCAGCCGGTGAATAAGCGGGGGGGGGGGAGGGGAGGGTGAGACCACTATTTTTTATTTTTTTACCTAATTCGTGAGATTTTTTTGATTTTTTTTAAATTCTTTTTTGTTGAACCGTCAGCCCCCCCCCCCCCCCTCCCCGTGGATCCGCGCCGGCGAATAAGCGGGGAGGGGGGGGGGTTTTGGTGGGGTCTACGTTATTATCCTATTTTTTATCGTTTTGGGGGACTAGGGGGGGGGGGGGCCGGGCCGGAATAATCGCTACGTGGATCCGCTCCTGCCTATAATAACTAAACTTGTCACAGTAGCACAAGACTGAAGCTAACATCAAGGCAATGGACTGATAGCCGTCAATCGCGACAAGTGCATTTTATTAAAAAAAAGAGCAAAGTACTAGATCTCGTAATAGACAGTAGTTCTAGGCCTAGACTAGAGGTCTAGTCTATACGTATTCAATGGCAGGACAGGATCAAGTGGGAGTAGCGTAGCACTGCCACTATGGCACTATATACGTACCGGTACATGATCACAGTCGTCATAAGCAGCAGCAGCATCAGTATACGGCCAGTGTGAGGTGATTCTGTTGAAACTTCCGGTCACATAATCATGATCATAAGGGTCTAGATCTAGGTCTATAACCTAATAGAATCTGGTGCTTTTCAGGACCTAAAGTTCTAATCTTGTAAACTTCTTTGGCAATATCGTGAAATAGGCCCCGCAACTTACCCGTCTTGTAATCGATTACAAATCATCTTAGACTTCTAACTTCAGTCTTCAGCCAACATTTTCATGACGGACAGCAATAAAAGGGAAATAAAAGTGAGTTAAAAAGGGGGTTGAAAGGGACTTATTTTTTAAATAATAATTAGGAGGGGCGGGCCCCAAAAAAAAAATTAAAAAAGGAAAAAATTTAACTGAAAGATAAATTTAAAGAGAGGGGGCGGGGGCCCCCCCCCCCCCCCATAAAAAAAAAATCAAATAAAAAATAAATTCAAAGAGAGGGGGCCATAATATTTAAAACAAAAAAACGAAAATATTAAAAAAGGAAAAATATTAAAAAAGGAAAAATATTAAAGAAGGTAAAATATTAAAAAAGGAAAAAATATTCAAATAGTCTAGGACTAGGGTCTCTAAAAGATAAATTTAAATGATTAACCCTTTTTAATCATTTGCTAGCTCTATTTATTAAACCTCAAAACACCCCCTTAATTATACTTGGGTGAAAGAAGCCCCACTACCGTGCTGTCCGTCTTGAAAATGCATAGGATGGGGCCTTGTTCACGAGTATACAGTATAGTCGTGATACAGGCCCCATCATGTCCGTGTTGTAGAACATGCAACACCGTTGCGCGGGGCCTATTTCACGAGTATATATAGCGAGTTGAATAGCAGACTCGCTAATATATACTCGTGATACAGGCCCCGCTGCTGTGTTGAAGTGCGCGCGATGCCGTAGCGCGGGGCCTATATAACGAGTATATAAGTATAGTCGTGTTACAGGCCCCGCTGCTGTGTTGAAGTGCGCGCGATGCCGTTGCGCGGGGCTTAGATCACGAGTATATATAGTGAGTTGGCTGAAGTTAGAAGCCTAGTATAAAATTATAATCGATTCAAAACAGTTGCGGGGCCTATATCACGAGTAGTCTATGCCAATTCTTTAAATTATTACTATTAGTAGACCTTACTATTCGAAACCAAGTTTCCGGTTACGCACTAGGCCTAGATCTAGATCTAGACATATAATAATGAACTACCAATTGAATTGTCATTGACTTTGTATTGTAATGTCGTTGTTGATTGCCTACTCTAATACACCAGTTTACAGTTGTGTGCGCCATTTTAAACAAAGCTAATGACCTAGGAGTCATGTATTTATGCGTAAATTAAGATTGCGCCCATGCAAATAATGATGACATCACTGCCTGCGCGCTGCGTTGTGCGCGCACATCATCATTTGCATGGGCGCAATTTTAATTTACGCATAAATACCAGAGGTCAGAGGTTATTGGCCCCAATTTTGGGGCCAATGACCCGAGGTCAACTGTCTGCGCATGCGTACTGATACAACTGTAAACTGGTGTATTATTGTCTTACTATTAACTTTAGACTCACACAGTGGAACTGCTCCGACCCCACCGGTGTTGATAGCAAAGTAAACAAGCCAAAGGAGGACCATCAAGACGACCTTAAACAAAACTGGATACACGAAATGAAGCCTCTCCCATACCCTTGCACCACTAAAATTGATTCCAGCTGTGCATTTGGTCATTTTCGCTTTCAATTCCGGTTCTAGACGTCTATACTTAGATTTTAGATTTTTTTTCTGTGCTACTCTGCGCTGCATCGTCGGCCATGCATAAAGACCGAAATCAGTGATCGATATCTCTTACATTTAGTTGATCAATATATCGCGGATCGATCTATCGATCATAGGGATAGATCCATAGGGCGTTATGAGCCAGCTGGGCCTTGAGGCTGTGCCAGAATTAGTTACAGAGGCGGATTTTCGAGTTGCGGAGGTAGTGAAGAGGCGGCTGAGGGGGGGGGGGGGGGGGCACAAGGCATAACATTTCTGACAAGCAAGAAAAAAAGTCCCGAGGCGGTTTCGCCTGCATTGTGCAATAATCGGGTCAGGATTCTGGTTAGGTGTAATCCAGAATCTGGCCTAATTAATTTTGATCTCCACCACCACCAACGCTAACCTCTCCCTACTTACTACTTGCTTCCAGCCGTGTAGGGAAATCATAAAGGACCGTGCAGATTCTGGACTAGGTTATGCGGTGGTCACATCCCGCCGTACTTGTAAGTGCGTGCTGTCTACGTGCACAAACGTAGGCAAAATGTGGGTATCGGTACGTGGTGAGTACCGCCTCCGTACGGATTTATGAACACGCAGACACACCGTAGCGCTTTTAGTGCATGAGGAACTTTCGCTGCGTTCGGGCTACCGATTTACCCCCAGTGTGCGTGACGTGCGTGCCCGGTACTGCCAACGAGCGCACAACGCACTGACTCCGTGCGTTTTTAAATTTGTATCCCACGGTCACTTGCTCTACGGAAGGCGCACTTAGCACGTGCGTGCTGCGCACGTGATAAGTGCGTGGTCCGTGCTTACTCGCCACTTCCCCAGTTCAACTGTCTAATGAGCACGCAGAACTCACGTGGACCGTACCGAGTAAGCACGTGCTCCGCACTTACAACGCACGTTGTGCGCACTGATTTATGCAGTATATACACTATGAACATGACTGACAAAGAAAGCGGACAAAATATACAGTTCCTCAGTAGACAAAGGAACATCCTTTCACTGCTATTATGAAAAAATGTGTATTAAAGTTTATTATAACCATTTGTTAAAAATTACCGATTTGTATTATTTATTTATTTTTTTATTTATTTATTTTTTTATTTATTATTATTTTTTTTTTTTTTTTTTTTTTTTTTGGGGGGGGGGGGGGTCTTTGATAGTAAGAGGTGAGACCGGAACCATTCTGGTATATAATATTAAAGTTAAGGTTGATTTTAAATAAGAAAAAAAAATACATTTAATGATTATGTTTGACTTCTACATGTTTATTCACACATAAATACATAAACTAATAAATCACGAGTTCATGGAATGTCCCCAGAGTTCTTTAAAATCATGAGTGTCTGTAGAGTTCATAGAGTGTCTCCAGAGTTCATAAAATTAAATCATGAGTATCATGAGTTCATGTGTTCAAACAACCCGATCTTGCCATGGTAGGCGGCCAAGTGGGGAACTGTAATAGTCCGCTAGATAGTTTCTCAGGGTTTTCCCTTCCCTTGAGGCCCGTTGGCCGACCATCTGGTTGGGTTCAGTCATCTGCACATCTTCCCTCCAGGCCCCGGGGACCACGTTGCCATCCTCATCCTCGCGGTCCAAATTAAGGTCCTGTAGTCCGGGCCGGCGCTTTCGCAGCCAATTGTGAAGGGTGAGGCAGCCCAACACAACGCAAATCACCCTGCCAGGCTCCAACTGCAGGGTGGTGAGTAGGCACCGCCACCGGTGAGCCAATATCTCGAAGCTGTTCTCCACAACCCGACGTGCCCGAGAGGTCCGATAGTTCATCACTCTCTCTTTGTGGGTCATGGCACGGCGACTGTATGGCTTCAAGAGCCACTTTCGTAGGGGAAAAGCATCATCGCCTAAAATGAAGTAGGGAAAGTCCCGGTCGTCGCCTGGAAGTGGATCCGGTGCTGGGAATCCAATGGTGTTGTCCTCCAGTGCCCCCCGGAGGGTGGACTCGTTGAACACGCCTGCGTCTGAGGAAGAGCCGTTGGCCTCCACCTTGCACCACAAGAAGGAATAGTTAGCATCCACGATGGCCAGGAGCACCACAGAACAGAAGCGCTTATAATTGTAATAGAGCGATCCACTTTTATTTGGCTTCTTGATGGCGATATGTTTCCCGTCGATCGCCCCACAACAGTGGTGAAAGTTCCATCGCGTTCCAAACTGGCGGGCGACGGCTTTCCACTCGTCCTGTGTGGAGGGCATGTTGAACATCTCCTCCTTATATTCCTTGTAGATGGCGGTGCAGACCTCCGGCACGACCGTGGATATGCTGTTGTGTGCCACCCGGAAGTCGTAGGCAAGGGACCTGTAGCTGTTCCCCGTCGCCAAGAAGCGAAGGGTGATGGCCAGCTTCAGGCCAGGCTCAAGAGGGCGGCGACTCCTGAAACATAAAATGTATTAATAGCGTTTGGGTGGCCCAGAAAGAGTGCTACAAAAACTTACCTTAATTACAAATACATGAATGACTAAATACAATTATTGTTCATAATATTTGATAGAAAAACACTTCAAGTTTTATTTGCCACCAAAAACATCAATTTACATGAAGGCGTTTTGATTCTATGGCCATTTTACTGAAAAGTTGTGATTTGCAAAATTTGCTCCTTCTGTCAGAGATTTATTCTTAAATGAGCAACGGGAAGCTTCCAATAGAAATAAGACAACATTTTAAAGCAAATACAAAGCAAAACCAAGAATTCGTTATGGCAGAAATGAAGACACACACCTTGGGCACTTGGTGATTCGAGGGGTCACTCGGAGCAGGAGCTCGGCGAAGAGATTGGGGTCCATTCGGATGTATCATACATAGTCCCCCCGCGATTCACGCTCTAGCTCTTGGAGCAACGTTTCGTACTGCCCGAAAAGCCTCCTCCTCTCGATCCATGGGCGAACCCACCATCTTCTGCGTCGGCGTCTCTGTTGCCTCTCTCTCTCCCGTATCAAGGCAAGTAATACCACGTCGTACTCATGCGCTGCCACTTGAAGGTGTTCTTGCAGCATCAGAACCCGGAGTCTCTGCGGTTGGAATGGGCGGCATCTTGACGCAGCAGCAACTTCTAGAGAAAATGGGAATGTCGTCCTATATGCTCCGACATACCCCGACTCACCGAGTTCATCGCACGTGTACGCACTTACAACGTGCGAGTGAGTAAGGACACCGTACGTGAGCAGCACGTGTAAGTACGGCCTCCGTAAGACAACGTGGCAACCGCACGGAGACCGTACGTTGTAAGCACGTTGTAAGTACGTACAACGCACTTACCACGTGCGCAACGTACGATGCACGCAACCACTCACGGCCAGGCGTGGCGTGCGGGCCACGTACTTACACCGTGCGTGTGACGTGCTTTGCCGGTACTCCCTCCCTGCCTTTGCCACTCCCTCCCTACGTTTTCAGAAAACGTGGCGGCCGTGGCCTCCCCAAAAACCGTACGGACTAAAAACACGCACGGTGGGATGTGACCAACGCTTTAGGTGAAGAAAAAAATGAGAGCGGGAAACCGTGAGGCGTGCTGTCCGCTTTTTTAGGCTTTATAATCTGCTTTACCTGAGAATGGTTGGAATAATTAATTTCAGTTCAAATCAAGCAAACTGTGTGCTTTAAAAGAGTAAAACATTATGTAGATCTACATGTCATAATAATTGTCTTTGGAAAGCTTTAGCGGTGTTGCTCCTCAAAACTAGACACTGTCCCCCCCCCCCCCCCCCCCCCCCCCCCACTCCGGGATCGGAATGACCGCATGCGTGTTGCCAAAATGTCCGGTAAAGGGGTACTAGCTCACGCTATAGTGTGTACACACACAGAGACAGTCCGCCGTAAATATTGAGTATCATAAAGAGCTTCTGACTGCATTGAGTATTATCTACCAACAAAATGACATATTTACTTCATACAAGAAGAATCTTTAAGTTTTGTTTTAACATGTTTGTTGAAGGATTATTTCATAGACTTTGTATTCCTATAATTTCTGTTTTTCCCCTCTTTTTTAGATCAGTATTAATATAAAAGCATTATATCATTGTAATCGACCAACTATGTCTGAATAGACTTGTACTCCGCTGAAAATTTGCCAAAACCAGTCCTGTCCATATCAGAATGTTCGTTGTGTTATAGCTATGAATTGCATTAGACAGTGCCATAATTATGTCATCTAATTTGCATTATATTTAAAAATATCTCCAAAGTGGAAAATTTGGCATCTATAGCAAATCTAATACGTCCATTTTCACTAGAAACAGATAGGCCTATTTTGCTACAGAAAGATACATTTGGCGAGATATGGTTTCGGAAAATGGAGAGTATAATGTTAAAGCTTATCTGCCATAGTTTACAGGAGGGATTAGACCGCTCTGCAAGGTCACTGGACAGGTGGTTATCTCATCAACTCAGCTTTCAGTTAACATAAGAAAAAGAGGATCATGGGGGACCAATGGTCACCGATTAGGCATTGTTTATTATATAGAGGGCGCAAGTAGCTACCAGTAGTGCAGTGGGCCTTTAAAAGCCTGTAAAACTTTGAGCCCTGTGCGGTGCCTGTTTGAAAACGCTCGGTGTGTTTGGGGGATGTCACTCAAATGGTACTTTTGTGTATATTTTTAACATCTTTTGCACTTGCGCACATTGAGCATGAAATTTCAAGTGAGTTTGGCGCCTTCTATATTATTGACTGTTATGAGGGCCTGGCTGTTACATGAGCTCGAAGGGACGTTGCATATCCTCCCATGACCCCAATGTGCGCCTAGGTGGGCGGCGCGCCTAGGGAGGATATGCAACGTCCCCTCGAGAGTTCTCGGACACCTACCACTGATAGACATCCGCCCCCGGATAACCAGGGACGTAGCATGAGTTTGATTGTTTTGTTTTGTTTTTGTTTGGGGGGGGGAGGACATAAATTGTAATCGATCGACGTCCTGGGAGGGGTCTAAAACAGTTCAACCGATCTTGGAGAAAAAAATTTGGAGGCACGTGCCCCCCCCCCCCCCCCCGTGGCTACGTGCCTGTGGATAACCACCCCCAGTCGACTACACCCTAGGGCAACCACCCTCTAGGTCGACTACCCCTGGGACAACTAACGCCCGGACAACTACCCCCCCCCCCCCAGTAAACTTCCCCCTATAGGACAACTACCCCCTTAAAGACAACTACGCCCGGATAACTACCACCCGAACAACTACCCCCTTCGACAACCATCCTCTAGGACAACTCCGGTCAAGTATCCTAGGGGGTAGTTGTCCGGGGGTTAGGTGTCTGGGGGTAGTTGTCCTAGGGGGTAGTTGTCCTATATAGGGGGTAGGTGACTGGGGTGGTTATCCGGGGTGGATGTCCAGGGGTACGTGTTCGGATTCAAACGCCCCGAGAGCCATGCCTCAAATATTAAAGCAATCAATATGTCCTTTATATACCAAATTGACACAAAAATCTACCAAGAATTCTTAGTTTTTCCTTCTCTTAGTAAAGATTGGTTAAAACATCACGGAAATCCTGGGACATTGTCTGTTAATCTTCGTTGGACAGATGACTGAATGTTACAATCATTTGGGAATCGCTGACAAAAAGCACTTATACACGCTCGCACAAACTAAGTTTTAACACGTTAACCCAAGGGGATCCCAGCACAATTTTACTATTTCCCAGTACCCTGAATTTTGCGGGAATCTCACTATTAAACTATTTACCGGTACTGGCATTGTTCGTTTCTCTACGGGAATGGCTAAAATCAAGACTCCGATTTCGACCAATCAAATGGCTATAGATTTCTAAAGAGAGGTATATGTAATACGCTATTCAATTCAATTTAATTCAAATGTATTGGTCCAAAAGGAAATTTGTTGCGTTTACATGCATTATTCACACAAAAAAATAGATATGATGTACATGTGACATGATACAACGTTAAAACGATTATCAAGAGAATAATAATATTAATAATAATTAAGATTTATATAGCGCTGGTATACAAGTACAGTTTCTAAGCGCTTTACAAAACAAGTGAAATGAAAAGTACGGTTAAACTAAATATGTAATAAGGATCAACAAGAAACGTGAAATGAACAATGCGCTTAATTTGGACGAATTACTTGACTAACAATGTATAACAATAACATGATAATGAAAAATGAAAATGTAAATACAATGATTAAGAATAAACATATTTTAACATTCACATTATATAAATATTTTCTCTAATTTTACAATGCATTCAACTTTGTTCAAATATTCAGAGTAATTACCAACGCAATATTACATTGTTATTGTCATTATCATTATCAATATTATTTTTTGTGTAATTGGTATATTATTAGTTTGACTCAGTATATCATTGTAATGAAATATTGTTGTTAGGTAAACAATAAACCACAAACAGTTTAACAATCAATAGAGTTTATCATTATAATTTTCTATATGGTCGAAAAATAACCATGTATATATTCTAGTAAGTTACAAATAATGTTCCTATCTTCTGGGGTAATGCAATATCCTATTCTTATAAATCCACAACAATTCTTGTCCCTATAAATGAAACCTTAATATGAATGCAGTATATTAATTACTATTGAAGGCAGTATGAATCAATTATTAATAACAATACGTTATGGCATGTAAGTAGAAATACAGAAGAGACTTATTCATTTCATTTGAGGAAAAGATGGCTTTTATAAGAAAACTAATATAATTTTCCTATAATAAATACGAATAAGTTTGTTATCATTTCCTACAAGCAAATAATATCATGCGAATCATACATTTTACTTTTTATATTTCATTCAAAAAACGGATAGAGTACGGAGCAAATGAGTTCAGGTAACTCGAAGTGCGGGTTTTCTTCGACTGCAACCTTTATATACCACTTCTCAGCCTGACATAATTTTAATTCAGGGGGTGACTTGAATCTCTTGAAACCTTGACAGCCGTACACATTGTTTTATCTATTATTTTGGCTGCTTGTTTGTTAATGGTTTTGAGTTTTCCTTGGTCTTTCTTTCTGGCACTATTTGTACCACACTACACAATTATAATTTATGTCATTACACTTTCAACTATGGACCGATAAAAAAGTGACAGTATGGTCCTATCAGCGTGGTATGAATGCAACTTTCTCAGAAACTGCATTCGCTGGCTCCCTTTTGTTGCGAGGGCTTTTGTATGCCCATTCCAGACCAGTTCATTGTCAATGTGTGTGCCCAAATATTTGTATGAAGTAACAATTTCAATATCTTGCCCTTTAATGCTTACAGGGTGGTCAACCTGGTTTGCTTTCTACTTTGATCCTGAAATCAAACAAGATCTCTTTGGTTTTCTGAACATTCAGCTCCAGATAATTTTCCACACAAATGAGTTGAAATGATTGATTGATTGACTGATTTTTATTCGACAAGCTTCCAACATACAACAATATACAATGATAATAGATTAACAGATCAAAATTAAGTCAGCTTGAACAGGATAACCCACGAAAGCTCGAGAGCTTATTTTCAGTGGGGTCCCCACTAAAATGTACACAATCTCTTTTCATCATCTTTAATCAGCCCTATACGATGGCAATTTAGTCTGAATACTTGAAAGAGTGAACATTTTTTAAATGAGATAGGCAGTCATTGGTATAAAGAATGAAAATAGTCTGGGAAAGTACATATCCCTGGGGTGATCCAGTGTTGGTTATCCACCTAGGAAACCTTGTACGAGTGTAATGGATGATGTTATTATCTTTCTGTATAAGTCTATATGTTATATTAATCATATAGCATAATAAGATCATTTTTTTAAATCTTGCAGCGTAAACTTATTATTTGTGTACAATGTTGACAAATTGAAATTAACAAATTTGCTTTATTATCTTCAAAATACTTTCATACATTTTTTTAATATCGTAAAAGTTACGAGTGATTAAATATTCATTATAAAGTTAATCAAAAAAATGTATTGAACTGAAATGCTCATCATTTTTATTTTCGTCATGATCACAGGAACCCCAGACTTCTACAAAATTTGTAACCGTGCATTGATCACTTGACCTATCATTTACATTGCTTTTTATTTAAAAATGTACACCTCACTATAAATTTGGTTTGCTCTTCAAAATATGATTTTTATTCTTTTTATATTCACAAAAAGAATGTCACTTTTTAACATACAAGCATCATGTTTGCTTTACTATAACAAATGTCCAATATGATTTCATACTATAATTGCCCATCGAAACAGACGATCTATTTGTATCTACGTAATGTTTTAAAATCACATGTACATTATATTAGGACAGACAATATGCGAATTATGGGCTTCTTTTGTGAAAAATATCATGTTGTAAGACTAGAACTCTAATAGATTTATAAAAAATCTATTTGATGGTTGTATAAGCTACTAGCATACATCATGTTATCGTCAATATGCATAAGATGGGTTACTATAATGCACAGAAGACGAGTCCTCAGACGAAGAACAAGTTCCTGTAGTTCCGTTTGTATTCATTGGTGTCGGTCCTATACTTCGCTTTGTGTTCTGGTCTTCACCCGAGAATCCGCAAGAAAGACCTCGACGCCATTGGTCTCTGATGGTTGCCTTACGAAGACAATACAGGGCGAAGATGAAGAAGCCTAGTAAGGAGTTGGAGATGATGAAGAGGGTGTTGGCGATGTCTACATTGATCAGGGTCAGGTATCCAGTGATCCAGGTGAAGCCAAGCAGGATCAACATGGCGATACCATTCTGGATTCGTTCTAGGGTCTCTTGTCGTTGGTCTCTGTAGTCCTTCTTCACACGACCTTCCTTTCTGGCAGATTGCTTCAAGTGACGCATTGCCAATATGAAGATGACGGTGTCGACAAGGAGGATGATGGCCATTGGTACAAGAAGACCACCGATCAACGACCACTTATGGATGAAGCAACTGCACAAGGGGAAATAATATACATTAAAGAACATCATAATAATAATAATATAATAATAATAATAATAGCCTAATAGTCCACTCCAAATTTTATTAAACCGAAACGGAAATTCTTTTTGCCCCATTGATCGTGAGCCCGGCAGCCACTGAGCAGCGCCAGATCGACGTTGCTCTATCCCTCATCATCTATCCCTCATCTATCCCTCATCATCATCATAATCATATATTTCGGGGGATATTTGTTTTTTGTTTTGAGTCTTTTTGTAATGATGTTTTGGTGTGATGATTGATTGTTTTAGCTCCACATTACAACAAAAATGATTTGTATTTCTGTTTTATGCTTATTGAATTTCGTTGCTTCATTTACAATATGGTGAAATAGTATAGTATTATAGATGAAGGGTCTACATACGGAAACGCCGTCAGAACCAACATTTTAATACTTACTAATCTTCAACGGCATACGAGTTCCGAGCGATTCCTCCAGTTAAACCAACAATAACTGCCGGAATGCCTATCAGTTAATAAAAAAGAAAATAAGAGAGATTAATTTAGGCTATATTTCATTCCATACCATGCCCACGCCCCCTTCTATCTCTCTCTCTCTCTCTCTCTCACACTCTATCAGTTTTCCCTCTAGCTTTCTCTACCATTTCTCTCGTCTCTCTATTTCTATGTCCACCTTTCTATTTCTCTCACCTCTTTTCCCCATAGTATTTTATGTCCATATCTCCCATTTCTGTGTTATTTCTCAACTTTTATTAACAGCAATTAATAAGAAGACATCCGATGAAAAGACATAAATCCCCGTCATTTTCGGACAAGTGAATGAGCAATGTGTAGTCGAACCTTTTTTGTACATATCAAGGGGGGAATTTTCCAAGTCACTTTCTACACCTCAACAAGACCTCTCCCTTTTTTCCTACTTTTTTTCTTGGCAGTTTGTTAGGAAACAACGGCCTGTGAGCCCAAAAGATTTTTTGTTAAATTTGCCGGAAAAAGTCCTGTCTGGTCGTTCAGATTTGACGCGGCAGAACCGCATCGGTTATCTAATGATGACGTAAAGTGTAATACGCTTCACGTTTTCTGTGTCTATAAAGCTCAGTGAATATGCGCAATCAGAACTGTGCCCTCGATCATGGCGTAAAAAACCGCGGCCGCCTTTTTTGTAGCGGTTTACTGCGTCATAATAATAGTATGAGGGAGCCAGGCGCCTTTGAATGCTTTTGCAGATAAATGGCGCTATACAAATGCTGTTCATCATCATCATCATCATCAGTATGCTTGTGGAAACACTCAGAAGCACAGATGGTAAAATGGAAAAGAAGATAAACTTTTATAAATCAGTGCATTACCGATGCAATAATGTCAATTAAATATTTGGGTCTATTGAAAAGTTGGAGCATTTGTCGATTGGTAAAGTACATCAATGATGCAGATAAGTCTTATTGAATTGAAATAAATGATCAACTTTACCCCATCCGACCACAGCAGCTTTGATCATAAATTTCGGTATGTAAGTATCAAAGACTCTGATGATGACCAGGTAAGTATGAAACCCCTCGATGCCCATCCAAGTAATCGAAGAGAGCACGAAGTAGTGGACGAGTGCCGCCAGGACGATACATGGTATCCCCTCGACCTCAGCATGCTGGAACTCCGTGTCGAGAGCCACGATGACCAGAAAGGTGGAGTATAAACAAAGGAGAGTGACGCACAGACAGATAAAGATCCGGTGTGTTTGGGAGCTCTGAACTCTTCTGTTAACATCAAAGAATGAAATGTGTGTTAATATCGAAAGGCAGTGGTTTAACACAGGGAGTGGGGCGGGTTTCGGGAGAAGGGGGCGATTTTCGCTGCAACGAACTTTTCATGAAAGTTTTTAGAATTTAGAATTCAAAAGAATTTATCGGTAATTGATCGTGATCGACTTTTTTACCACATGATGAACGAAATTATGTTAATTAATAAGAAACAAAATCAGATTTGTCATTTATATAATGAGAATCTAAATTTCGATGAAACAACAAGGTGGCATATTGACGACTGTTTTTATTTATCAATAATACCTTCGTATTATATTTTGTCTTTGTTCAAAAGTAAATCATAAGTTGTGGCATTTGACAACCATTTTCGCTAAACAGGCCTATTGGCAAAATTTCGCGAAATTTTGAATAAAATATATCCCTTCTGTGTCCATCCCTCTATTTCCACCAGCCAACTGTATATTATTTTACACATGCCCATTAGTTATACTTTAACTGTCTGTAAAGTGCCACCGGTGAATTGAAAATTAAATTTTAGTGGTGCTATCTGGTGGCCGAAATAATTCGTAAGCGAGAAGAAGAAAAATCGCTAAAAGAATGGTACAATTTCAGTGACTATATTCTGCAAAGACAGCTGTAAAATGCCACCATAGAAAGTCCACTTACTTGATGCTGAGATAGGAGATCAGTGTGATGAGCAAACACACACATGAAATGGTGCAACCAGCGATACTGGATACACGCAGTAATGGGTTGGGAGGTACCTCCATCGCGTAGATGTCCTAGGGTCAAAACAATAACGTGAAATTGAGCAGAGGTGGGAACGGAGGGGCGGAAAGTGAACACTACTGCAGACTTTGGACATTAAAGAGTGGCAGATGGGAAATACATCATGATTATAGTTAACCTAAAACCTCAGCTTACTTGCAACCTTTCTTTTTTTCTTCAATTTTCACCGAATTCTTGCATGCTTCCTCTTTACAGATTTGCCTCCCCCCCCCCCCCCCCCCCCCCATTCCCCGGAGATGGACCGACACCTTGATTATTAAATTATAAGTACGTATAGTTATGCAGAATCGGCCCTTATGCCTAAGGATGAAGAAAAAAAATCCTTCTAAGAAAAATCTAGAAATGCGCACTTTTTAGGAGCCCAAAATCTATGTATGAAGATGTTCTTACCACCAGAACAGCAAAGTTTGTCAAGTGATCACAGGAGCATGTGTAGTATTCATCTTCAATGCCGTCGACTTCCATTGAATTTCTCATCGAATTATCAGGTAACAGTTCACATCCAGTCCTAGACCATTTGCCAAGACTATACTCCCAGAAGTTACAAGTCGGATTACGGGAGCCAGCCTGATCATGATACAAGAGGAATCAAATATAATTAAATTTGAAAAGGGGAGATAGCTAGAGAGAAAGACTAGAGAGAGAGAGAGAGAGAGAGAGAAAGGGGTAAGTGATAATAACGTAATTATGTAGCTTAATTTGACAATTTCAGAAACTCCATTTGAAAGATTGATCGGAGAGGATTTAAAGCCTTAACTAAGGACACATGAATGTTTAATCCATTCATTCTTTTTTGTCAGTCATGATAAGATAACATAAATCCTTGATATATCAAGAAATCAGTCAATATTATATTATATTTCGTATGGTATCACCAGAACACTTATTTTACCATCAGTCTAGAGAAGGTGATATTAATGGGTTCCATCAAGTGTTCAATCTTCCGCCCTCCGATTACTAAGGAGACAACCGGTGTGTTGACAGTACGGTTGAAGTCTTCCGACTCCTGGTTGAGTTGGGCGAGAGTTGGTGATGGGAACATGACATCATCGACGTATACGAGGAAGACAATTCGTAGATAGTCACTGATCACACTCCCTGGATCCCCTGACAATCCTGACCGGGTCGTTGATCCTGGGTTACTTCCAGGGAGTTGGGTAGCTAAACTCTCTGATTCTATAGTCGCCTTTGGCACGGTGACAATCTGGGTAGCTTCGATGGGAACAACAACCCTGGCAAAAGTGTCTTCAGCGATCGTTTCGGTTGGGGTATCCTGGTGCGTTCCCACCTTGACATTGCTGCTGCTCAGGTCTTCCTTGTTTTCAGTAAACATGGTTACAACTAGGCCATCGAGAACACTCTCTGAAGGTAAATCAAGTACCTGTACCCACCCGATAACAAAAGAAAGTATGAAAACAACAAGCACAGTGCATAATAATTGCATTATAAGACACACTAGATTAACATTGATATATAACTAACATTGGCAAGTCTGAATGTGCGATCTCATTCAAGACACAGTAAATGACTTGAAGCGAAGTAGGCCTAAATGTCATAATTACATGAAAAATTCCTTCAAGACATAAGTAGCCGAAGGAGAAGAAGATCATTCCATTCACTAAGTGTTATGCTATGCCGTAATCTTAAATCCCAATAGGATAATTATCCACAAAATCAACAAGACATTGCAAACCTTCAGAGATATCTCAACAGTAGATTGGTTTACTAATGTTTTCAAACTAATTAGATGTTATGGGGGACATACATGATTGTATAGTGACGAGTTATTCCATTAAACTGGTATTAGTCAATGAACAACAATACTTGGAACTCAGTCTCCGTACTTGTACTCTGTCGGGTAATCCTCGGAGAAGCTTTCATGTTGTCAAGATCAACATTATTTTGTTTAACAAGTATGCATAGAATGTGACTATGGATTGTCTAACATGAAATGTGAGTCTCACATACAAGACCGACACTAGACCAACCCCTAAAGAGTGCATTACCCTTCTGGCAAAAATTAAGTCGTTTTGGAGTCGGTCTGGGCCCGATTTGTACTTCTACAAACAAAAGTTACCTTCGCTGCAATATTTGTATAAGATGTATCGAATGAGCCATTATGTACGTCAACAGTGTTCAGTTGTGATTCCATGATTTGGACAATCGCAGTGGTGAAGTTTCCTTTCCTTTGAGCGGAAGTTAGAATCTCTTTCTCGGCATTCATTAAGTTATTCACTATCCCAACTATATCATCGGTAACCTGCCAAATGATCAAACATACATTTTCACAATTTGATACTTGTCTCGATGTTTGAAATAAGATACTAAATTACAACCTATTATACAATAAAAGAAAAAAATGTTCCCGTGAATTAAAATAATTGACAAATTATGGTAATTTGGTCTTACTTACCCGGATTCGCCGTATTAGCATAGAAATTGCCCTTCATCCGGGCCATACCATTACTATAACCCCTGCAGCATTGCCAGGTACTGACTTAAATAAAAACATCTGGGCCTAGCAGGACGAATTCGGGGAAAATATCTTGTCCAATTAATGATGTAAGCACTAAGTAAGGATCGAACCCGTGACCTCCCGTATGAGAGTCAAGAGCCTTCACTGTGCCATACACCATGTTAACCTTGGTGACATTGTGAATTCATCATGGACAAACATGACAAACATGCAAATCTATGTAAATCATATACGTTTGACATTTGGTTATATACTCAAAAATACTTTACCGTCCAATTCAAAATAGACTATTATAACCTTATAAATATTTTGCATATATTTTACCGTCAAAATATTTGATCATAATTTGATTAATACCAGTTTATGTAATTCTACCAGCTGATACGAAAGGATAACTAACTCAAATCAAATCTATTATTCAGCTAGTATTTTGTTCCGTTGTGGTTTGATTTCGATACATTTTATAGACGCTGTGATTTCTTAAGTTGTGTATACATTGAATGGATAGAGCAAGTTCGGATTTGTTTTCCCCTTCATGTTATTGTTGTCATGTTTCTGATTTCGTTGAAGATCAGCTTGTATTGACAAGGTAATAATAATGATCTTTTGTTTGTTTAACCAAGAGAAGCCACACAAGCATTATTGCTGTTCTTCCTGAGAACCCTGCCATTATTATTACCAAAGCAGTTGTCAGGTGTCCATTTCCACCTGGGTGGAGAGTGGCAAATGTGGATTTATGTCTTGCCAAAGGAGGTTAGTGCCGAGCTGGAATTCGAACCCTCAACCCTTGGATTGAGACCCAAGTGAATGTACCACTAGTTTAAACCTGTAAAACTCACATTAGCATCGGTGGAATTCAGGTAAGATATCTGCTGCAGGATATCGACGAGTAAACCCATATCTGTGACCGTGATGTATTCAGTCTCTTCTGTGATAAGAAACACTGCTCTGGAAATGTTACTCAGATTATCGCCAGATATTCCAGTCTATGAAAGAAACAAAGTAAAAAGACGAATCGGCATAGGCTTTAAAACTTAACAATATTACATTTTTTAAATTTATCAAAAGACACTTTTCTTTAAATTAACAAGATTCGATTTTTTTTTATAAATAATGTGTCCACATTTAAAGATGGTATGGGATGAGGAGCAGACCAACTAGGCATGAATTGACAACATCAAGCATTGGACGGGAATATACTTTGAGCAGCTAACTAGAATAGCTGAAGACAGAATGTTATGGATCGACGTCCATTTCATTGTCATGATTGTAGCCCCAACGGCATTCCAGCTATGGGACATAATGCAGATAGATTGGTTGGAAAGATAATGATCATGCACATTTCGATAAGCATTATTTTCTAATCAAACAAAATGAAAAGCTCTATATTCACTGATGGAATGCATTCTACACTAAATCTTGACTGTCCACCGTTCTCTTGAACCTAGTCGGTGATGCTCTATGATCTAAGAAAAAAAATTGTTACGATTTTTGGATTGTTTGAAACACCTGACAGCCAGTTTTTTTTCTTTCGCTATTCCCAAATCCAATAATTTTGTCCACATAAAGTTGTTGAATGAAGGCATAATTGTTATTTCTAACGTTCGTTATTCTGTTGTTTCATGAATTCAAACGTTCATAAATCCGAACACATGTACGAATTTCTTTTGAGCGAGAGTACCTACTCAGAAAATATCAATCCCTCAAAAAAAATATTAGGAACTCAAGTTTGATCGACTATTTCTCTCCTGTCATTGAATAAATATCGCTTTGTTTAGTATCACTGCAAAGTGTGTTTATTGTTCTTTAAAATGTTACAATATTGTTATGACTTTGCAGCCATGGAATAAGCAGTACATCATAATAAAGGGCGGGGTCAACGGTGAAAAGTTGCAAAATACATTGGTAAGCACTGGTGTTGAATATGCAGTACACTACACAGCAGCTCTACACTCTTCAAAGAAGGAAGAATGCATAGCAGAACCAAAGCAGTAGAATTCGTAGCTTTTCACTTGTGACCTTGCCCATTATCTAAATGCAATGCACATTCCATGACAGAAAAATCATAACACATGAGTAACATTGTAAAAAGGAGTAAATTAAATCCAAACACAGCGATGATTATGCCATAACAAGAGAGATGTAATCAATCAAACTTGACTTTCCTAACCTTTTTGTGAGGGGTTTATAAAATCAGCTTCGTTTCCCAAGCTTTTTGAGGTATTATATAGAATGTTCATATCTTACACAGATAAAAGGGGCATAACTAGTCTGCTCAAATCAATACTGTTTCATCTTCGAAATTACCAACCCTGACCCAGATTCGAAATTAAAGTCCTTCGGAGTATCGCCTTCAGATGATAAACCTTCTGAATCAACAAACTTAGGGTCAATGAACCTTCTGCAAACTGAATAAAGAACCATCTAAAACCGAGCCGTAACTATGGTAACCGTTGAATAAGAACAATAAATAGAGTGAATTGGACGTGTTTGCCGACTTTATCAGTCATCCGTAAGTATACCTTTAAAATCCCTGCCAGTGATCTTGTCATATTTCCCTCTGTAATGGTTCCGTCTGTCGTGGTCACTTCTGTCGTAGTTCCTCCTGGCGTAGTTCCTCCCTTTGCCGATGTACCTACTGTCGTTTTACCTACTGTGGTCATTCCTGTTGCCGAAGTTCCTTCTGCCGTAGTTCCTCCTGTCGTTGTTCCCTTTGCCGATGTTTCTTCTGTCGCGTTTCCTCCTGTCGTAGTTCCTCTTGCCGAAGTTCCTTCTGTCGTAGTTCCTCCTGTCGTAGTTCCTTCTGTGGTACATTTGATATCGATGGCCCAAGAGGCTGTGCCGTTGCTCCCGAGCTGACAAACCGCGTGAATGATTGGTATAAGAATATCTTTGAAAAAAAAAAGGGAAAGATGTTTTCAGGTAAAAGTTAAGATATCGTCTTCATTAGACACATTAGTTATGACCCAGTTACTTTATGATGAATGCATTTAATCTGATCTTGAGTTTTACCTGGACATAATTCCATAGAGTCGATAGTGGTTCCCACTTCAGATGCAGGAAGTCTTACATCTCCAAAGTCAGATGCTATTGTTGTGTTTGAGCAGACGAGTCCTAATGAGAGAATGAATTATGATTGTAAAGATCAAAATGTAAATAATTGAATTAAGTAAAAAGTACATTTAAAAACAAATATGTTGTTTGCAGACAAAATCAGAATATTTCTTTCATTTTAAAAAAAGTGGTATTGCGCCTATCATCAAGAAGAGAAAGATTTACACTTTTTTTTAAGCTTGCTTTGATATTTAATTTGATATGAAAGCTGATTATAAGACCATTAATACTCACTGAATATCACTTCGACATCAAAACAACACGTCGCTGCAACTTCTTGCGTGTCTGAAGAAAAGACATACTGAACAGAAGTCTGACCGACTGGAAACCGGGTGCCAGGGACATGGGATTGTGACGTCATAACGACCGATGTTAGACTAGAGATCGGTTCGATCCATGTTACTATTGCAAAGCGATCGTTGGTCAAAGAGTCTGTATTTAATATTCGCTGTATGGCTGTGGGGCAGCCTGTGATTAATGTATCAGGTTCGACACCTGAGGAAGGTCAAAAGCATATGGAAGGAAGACGTAAGACTGTTGAGATAAACCTGAAATAAACATTTTATTTTATTTACCTGCCTGCCAGCCAGCATCAATAGTTGATGGTCTATTTATTATTTTTTACTCGTTAATATGAATTTGTTATTGATAAAGTTTGTAAAATTAAAATTTCTATATAATTTGCAAATCGAGGGTGAGATATATTTCATTTTGTCGTGTTATTATGCAATTCGCATAGTTAATGACGGATTTGATCCAAATTGCAATTTGCAAAACTTCATCAAACTTAAAATAGTATTAGATTAACCATATTGTCTTAAAGATTGTGAATAAATAGACAGGAGATATCTTACGTCTAAATCCTACATGATTGAACTAAATGTTTTATACTTTTATCCAGAGGTACATGTGCTTGTAAAGAGTACACCTATATATAGTTTTTTGTTTAATTATTACAAGAGTTTTTTTTTTAAGCAGCATAGGTACGACCATATGCATACAACCAATACGTACTGCATAGGCCGCACATGGCAGGACACTGCTCTAAGACGAACTCAAAACCTTGTATCATCCCTGAACATAAGATCTGTGGCCATCCCGTACCACAGTTTGCATCGTAATCGCCACAAGGAGCTATATAGAAAAGAAATGTAAAGAAAATGTTATGCAGGCCATCCATTTACATAATTAGAAGAGGATCAACGCAAATAAAGTGGAATAAAAACTCCTATTAACCGGGACAAAAATAAGCTTTCGGTGACGAATAATAAAGTTGAAGGAGGATATTTTTATTCTTATCACTCTAAAATAAAGAGAGATTTTCAGGGCTTTCATATCACTTTCAATTAATATTTGTAAGTAAGTGAATTGGGACTGAGCGGCAGAGTTTCGGACCTGCCTCCAAAACGATCGATGGGGGTTAAGATCCGAGTCAGGTCATTCAGAGCCTGCTGAGAAGAAAAGTTAGTCCCAAAGATTTCTATAGATTATGAGTATTATATTTATATATATGAATATTCCCAAGTAAGGATTAAGGATTGTAAACACAATATAGAGGGAGAGAGAGGAACGGGGTAGATAGGGAGAAGGGAGAGGCAGTGAGGGATGGACAGAGAGAGAGACAGAGAACGAGGGAGGGAGAAAGTGAAATACAGAGACAGTGGGAGACAGAGACAGAGAGTGAGAGAGAAATATATAGAGAGAGTGATAGAGTGATAATCAAATACAAACCTGAGCAGTCGACACCAGTGAACTGTGGTGTACAAGTACAGGTGCAGTCATCGTTGATAACGCCACAGTTCTTACAGTTAACTTCACATGTAGTCGAACACTCTAACAAAAAAAATGACAAAGAGAGAACACAAAAGGATATCAATATCAACTGAAATTTTAATGTAGAAATAAGTTCTAATTAAAAAGCCTTATGATTAATATGTGTTGCCTGCATGTTATAGTTCGGACATGTTTTTATAAAAGTTCTAGAATTTCATATACATTTAAAGAAAAGGAAACAAATTATTTCTTTCCACGTGAATGATAGCAAATTCCGTATTCCGTATTAAGCTATCCTAATTTATTGCAATCTTATCATTATTACCAATATTATCGACAAATTTAATTTAAAAGTATGACAATGATTGAGCATTTTCTACTTGATCTTTATAATATTGACAGTCCTACGGGTATTTGTGGTTGAAATTTACATTTCTGGTTTTATCGGCGACATTTGGAACAAATATTTTCAGGGTTAATGTTTGAGTCTGTTTGTTTGTTTTGTTTTATATCTGCATTTCTCAACTTGATAAAGAGCATAATATGCAATGGCAATATAAACAAAAGTCAAAATACATATTATAATCATATCATGATATAAAATATTACATAAGTGTACCTTTAAAAAAAAACATAGTTGACGAGTCATTTCAAAAATGAAAAAAATGCAGGAGACCACCATCTTAAAGGTATTACAAAGTTTTGGTAAGGGGTCATGAATTTGGTTTAAATGAGCATATTGGAAGCATATGCGATCCTATAATATTCAGTGATCTTTGTCGCGGTTGAAATCGAGTCTAAAGTTATGAAATTTTTAATTTTAAACTATTTATGTTGTTTAGCTCCTTCTAAAGGTCAAGATATTAATTAAGCTATAAAACAATGTTTCGTGACAAAAAATCGACCAATTAGCTATTCCCGTTTGGAAATAATATATCACTACTACATAGTCTAAGAATTTCATGGTCGCAGCTACCATTTTACGGCCGTAGGCGCTATTTGAAATTCATCAAAATTTACCGGGAGCACCGGTAAATTTTATATTCAATTTTTCTCGAACACAGAAGTGTTTTAGGGGCTAAATTTTCTAGTGCTTATAATACATCCACAGGGGCATGCAAATATATCAAAATTGTAAAGAATCACTATCCATCCAATTTTCTAATTTCCCAAAACTTTGTATTACCTTTAAGCTAAAGCTTCAACGTGATGGCGACCTTAGAAAAGGAGCCTACATAGGAGACCAAACTATGATATATATAATCATAAAGAAATTAATTAAAACCGCCACATAATGAAGGGAATAAATTATTTAAAAGGCATGCAATAAAATGCGTTAAGTATAAATGTGTATATTATGTAAATGTTTGTCTTTTGTTAGATCTGTTGTTCGTGTTCTTGATTGTGTATGTGCAAGTGTGTGTTCATTTCAGACAAAACGTCACTTCCTTCTGGCTATATAACATGAGGCATTGTGTTGTTAAGACACACATACGATTATGTGGAATTTTTCACTTGATTATAATTGTCTTTATGGGCAGCCAGGATATTCCTTTTCTAGTATCAAAGACAGCACAGTCGATCGATGTGCTTGTCCGTTATGCTTGCTTTCATTAAACGAGTATGTTTCAACTTACCGCTTACCGTTTCTTCCTCTTGACATATACCTGCATAGATATTGAAAGAAAGGGAAAAGAAGAACTATTATATTTTCACGCTCAAATGTTTGATTTATTGTAGTTAAACCAAGAACGCTAACTATTCTAATCGAAATACAGCAGTGAGTACGATTATTTATATTCACAAATTGCTTTATCACTGTGAAGTCGCTTTCTAGGTTTATTTAAACTTTAGCTAATATCCTTACTGACACGCTGTACTACTTGGGAATCAAAGGTCACTTACAAACTCATTTCGAGGGACACATATTAAAATCTCACCCATTAAAAAGTTAGTAAAAGGAAAGTAGGTGATTCGAACACAATGTCATATTGCCTTGAAAAACAGATTGATGCGAAACAGACATTTCAACGCGAAGTCCGAAATCGATGTCACAGAAACCAGACTTTGGGTGATAATGTACTTATTGATACCCCACTAACAGGTAACAACAGGAGTCAACAATTAAGTCAGGTAAAAGTATAGCCACCGTTTTTAATGGTGCTTCATGCTTCACATCTTTTTTCTCATTTTATGGGTGTCCTTAAATTTTCAAAAATTATATGACATGTCGATGTCGAATTTGTGATATTCTCGCATCTTGCATGTACTTTTTCACAAATAGTTTCTATTGGGCTTTATGTATTCGAAATAAGTATGCAATAGGGATCGCCAGGGTATAGGAATTATGACAATATTTTGTTAAAATCTTTGACAATAATCTGAATAACCTTCACGTGTAAATAAATCTTCCGGCTTGTCTCATCTATTTCCTTTTAGGTTTACTCGTCTAGAAAAATAATGATTGTGCACCTTTCGTAAACATAATGGATGTAGGATACTCACGACATAATTTGTTATCACATTGCATTACTCCTGATGTACACCTCGTGCAACTAGTTCCGTTCTCATATGGTTTGACATCTTTGTTTCCTCTGCATTTCAAAGAATATACATTCAACAAATAATAACATAAAGTGACATCAAGCTTTAATCATCAAGAAATGCTCTTTAATCAAGCTTCTTTATCAATGAGTTGTTAGGATGATTCAAAATATTAAACTCGAGGGGCAAAGAAAAATGCCTTGCCTAAAAAGGGGGAGAAAAAGGCAAAGCGCAGAGTCAACTAAAGCAGATTGATCCCATGAATAATGAATATATACATAAAGATTCACTTCTATTGATAGAAAGCAATTATGAATGTACACAAACATGGTTATATTCTCACGTCCTGTTAATATTGATTCTAAAGTATAAATTGAACCTGCCCTTGTTAAGCATCTTCCAATCCCTAACTAATGAACAGAAAGTCACTGATCAAAGGTTGAAATGGCCATTATAATTATGTCTCGCATGTTAAAATACATTTATTATTCTATTTGTGTGTAATTGAGAGGGAGAATGTGCGCGTGTGTGTGTGCGTGTTGGTCTGTCTGTGTGTGCTCTTCCATATTTCTTCGATATTTCGGGACAACAATATTTGAACTACAGTAATCGTACTTTTATTCGCTTTATTTATTTTGCATAATAGTACCTTAAAAGGGAAAGCAAACAATAGAGGGTTTGACGGGGTATATAGGGAGTGAGAATAACAGACAAGTTACAGACATGAGACACAGAGAGACAGAGAGATAGAGAGACAGAGAGTAATGGAGAGAGAGACAAAGAGAAAGAGAAAGAGAGCGAAAGAGACAAACTAGTCGTGCTCTGTTTTTATATTAACCCTCATCAAAACAGGGCACGACCACTGGCGTACTGATGGGAGATGATGGGGGAAGGGGGCATGGGGAGTAGTTGCCCCTTAATAAAATTCAAACGTGGTTTATTTCTAATTCGATACCAGTGATTTACAAATATTACTGAAATTACATGATTTTACGGGTTTTTCTGACTTATTTGTAAAATATTTTCTTTTTTTCTTTTTGCCCCTAAATGTTTTGCTCATTACGAAACTGGGTATGACTATTCATAAAGACGTGACATCCGCCCACTGTTGGCACTAGTTTCAAGTACTTTTCCTAATTCCCGACATTTAGTTTTATTTAAATAGTATTTCTCAAAAAAGAGAAAAAGAAGATAAAATTTGCCGCCAATGACGTGTCAAGAAATTGAGGTCAGCTCACATAGTCGGGGTAAACAAAAAGGTCTGCGACAAAATTGCTATAATCGGGTTTATTACATAGTTTGGCCGTTATTATGTACTAATAGAAGTTTGGGTACCGCCCAGTACCCGTATTGTTCCGTGCAGGCGCGTACACAGGGGGGGGGGGTTAACCCCCTCCTTTGGTATTTTTATGTGTGTAAACCCCTCCATCACCCCCCCCCCTCCAACCCCCCCCCCCCCCTTTGGATTTTTTTTCCCATGGCTGACCTAAAAAGGTGACACCTTACCCCTCCCCCCCCCCACCCCAACGGAGCCAAATGTCAAATTTTCAAATTTCGAGACCAAAAAAAAAAAAAAAGTGTCCTCTTACCACCCCCCCCCCCCCCCCCCCCCCGCTTATTCAGCATTCAGCGGTCGGCTAAGTCGTTGAAATTTTTTGGGACCAAAAAAAACAAAAAAAAAAGTGTCCTCTTACCCTCTTAGCGATCCACTTTTCAGTAAGTGTCGCAATTTTTCAGAATGATCGCGATAATTTGCCGGGCGTTGTGTGTGTGAATGGTATTGAGAATCAAAAATCGATTCATTTAATCCCATGATTCCATGCGCGCTTACATTGTCGAAATTTATGCATGCTTAGTTCGGACGTACTTGCCGTCTACCGAGAATTTTCCCTGTGTGTGAATGGTCGCTCCAAAAAATCAATCTTTAGATCGCGATCCAATTCGCATTAAATTGACATTTGTGAACGGTCGCCAAAAAAAAAATCGATCTTTGCATAGCGATCCATATCGCAATAATTGTTATGTGTGAACAGGCATAATAATTAATAACATTTTTGTAAAGTCATTGTTTTAAAGGGAAAATACTCACTGTTTCAAATAGTTGCAAGCAACGATGTAGTTAGTGGCACTGGCGTACTGGTGGGGGGCTAGGGGGGCGCCAGCCCCCCCCCCCCCCAAATAAAATTGAACCATGACTTATTTTCACAAGTAATGTATAAATGTTCGTGATATCACATGATTTTCAACAAAATGCTATAGTTTCTCCATTATTTCTTGCAAACTGACCCATTCCCAAATAGCCAGGAAGAGCATATGTTTTTTATAGTCACTAAGGGCCTTATAATGGCCACTAACAGTAACACTAATTCCTTTCCAGAAGCTACTGTGCAAAGCACTGTCGGGAGATAACATGCTACCCACCACTCGGGTTGAGCATGCACAGATTTGCGAACGAGCGTTCCATACTTATATCATGTAACACTGCACATATACCGTTAAGGGGCCCAGTGGGGGGAATTGAATTCAGACAAGATTAAGAGTAGAGAACGGTACAATGAATCGTCTTCTTTCTCTGATAATTAAATAAAACGTCATAGCTTCCGCGCAGGAGGGGAGACACAAGAATTAAGAATCGAGAACATTACAACGGATCGTCTTCTTTCTCTAATAGTTTAATGAAGTGTCAAGGCTCCCGCGCTTCGCGCGGGAGGGGGGAAGCTGAATTCAGACAAGAACACGATACAACGAATCGTCTTCTTTCTCTAATAATTTAATAAAACGGGAAAGCTTCAGCGCTTCGCGCGGGACGAGCGAAAAATGAATTCAGACAAGGATTAAGAGTAATAATGAATTGAAACATCAAAGCTTCCGCGCTTAGCGCGGGAGGGGGGGAACTGAATTCAGACAAGGATGAAGACTCGGGACCGGTACAATGAATCGTCTTCTTTCTCTAATAATTAAATTAAATGTCATAGCTTCCGCGCTTTGCGCGGGAGGGGCGAAACAAGCTTTAAGAGTCAAGAACAGTACAACGGATCGTCTTCTTTCTCTAATAATTTAATGAAGTGTCAAAGCTTCCGCGCTTTGCGCGGGAGGTGAAAACTAAAAAAATAACTTAGTTCCTGGCCCCGGATTTAAAGGCTTAAATTTGTAGACATTTGGACATTGGCATTTTTATATTTGTCGGTAATAATATTGGTGGCTCGTTTTGTCGTTAATCGGCGGCCTCTACACCCTCCCCCCCCCCCCCCCTCCCCCACTGAAAAAGATCTAGCGACTCCCCTGATAACGACACAGTTTATACACTCGAGATAATTTTTGCAAGTACTACTGATGAAGTACCGGCCCACCGTCTTTGTGCATTGTGCGGCATCAAAGCATAATTTATACAACGTCTCACGACGTGACAGATCACTTTTTTCTAACTTCTAACTAATCAGAGGGCCTCTTTTTTTTCCATGAAGTGTCGGTGGGCATTATTGCGCCAAATGTAGTTCTCAAATTGCAAAAGATTCCTACTCTTGGAAGGGGTAGGAGAAAGCAATTTTACGTCATATATGCCTGAAAAATGCATCTAATTTGATTCTAAAATTGCAAATGCTTCTTACACTGGGAGAGTGCCAGAACCCCCTCCCAGACCCACCCCCTGCTTGGTCACTCCGCTCCCTCGCCGTTAAAGCCTCGTTCTGTTGTTCATCGTTTTACATATATTTCACCCCATGCCATTTTGTGCCCCCCGTAAGAAATTCCTGGATCCGCCACTGATGCCCATTCCAGGCGCGGATCCAGGGGGGGCGAGCGGGCCTTGGCCCCCCCCCCCCCGCAAAAAAAAAAAAAAAAAGAGAAAAAAGGAAAAGAAGCGAAAGGGAAAGAGGAGAGAAAGGGAAAGAAAGAAGAGAAAGAAGAAAAGAAAAGGGGGAAGAAGGAGATCGGGGGCCGAAAGGGCTTTGCCTCCCAGGCTGTTGACCCCCCCCCCCCCCCCCCCCCCCATAAAACAAATAAGAGAGAAGGAAGGAAAGGGAAAGGAAAAGAGGAGATACTGGCGTACTGATAGGGGGGGGGGGGCTTAGTGGAAATCAAATTCAAACGTGGTTTATTTCTAATTCCACAACGGTGGATTACAAATAATGCTGAAATGAGATCATTTCCGAGATTTTTCCTCACTTTTTAGTAAATAATACGTTTGTATGTGTTTATTGGAAAATGCAGATTCCTAAATTTGCAGCCAGGCAAGAAATATGATTCTTGAGATTCCTACATGTCAGGGCCCGAGGTACGGCGGGGATCGGGAGCCTCGAGCTTCCCCCCCCCCCCCCCTCCCCCACACTTTTTTTGAAAAAGTATATTAAAGAGAAATAAAATAGAATGAGAGCAATGAAACGTCAAAGCTTCCGCGCTTCGCGCAGTAAGGGGGAGCGGGTAAACTAAATTCAGACGAGGATTAAGAGTCGAGAACTGTACAAAAAATCGTCTTGTTTCTCTAATGATTTAATGAAACGTAAAAGCTTCCGCGCTTTGCGCGGGAGGGGGGAGAATCTAAATTCAGACGAGGATTATTTTCGAAAACGGTACAACGAATCGTCTTTTTTTTCTAATGATTTACGGAAAACTTAAAAGCTTCCGCGCTTCGCGTGGGAGGGGGGGGAATCCTGAATTCAGACGAGGATTAAGAGTCGAGAACTGTTCAGCCAATCGTCTTTTTTCTCTCATAATCTTATGAAACTTAAAAGCTTCCGCGCTTCGCGCGAGAAGGGGGAGGGGGGGACCTGAATTCAGACGAGGATTAAGAGTCGAGAACTGTACAGCGAATTGTCTTCTTTCTCTAATGATTTAATGAAACGTATAAGCTTCCGCGCTTCGCGCTGAGGGGGGGGGGAACTGAATTCAGAAGAGGATTAATATTCGAGAACGGTACAACGAATCGCCTTCTTTCTTTTATAGTTTAATGAAACGTCAAAGCTTCCGCGCTTCGCGCAGGAGGGGGAGAGGGGGGGGAACTGAATCTAAACAAGGATTAAGAGTCGAGAACGGTACAACGAATCGTCTTCTTTCTCTGATGATTGAATGAAACGTAAAAGCTTCCGCGCTTCGCGCGGGAGGGGGGGGGAGGGGGAGAATCTAAATTCAGACGAGGATTATTTTCGAAAACGGTACAACGAATCGTCTTTTCTCTCTAATGATTTAAGGAAACTTAAAAGGGGGGAACCTGAATTCAGACGAAAATTTAGAGTCGAGAACTCTACATTGAATCGTCTTCTTTCTCTAATAATTTAATAAATCCTAAAAAATTTCGCGCTTCGCGCGAGAGGGGAAAAATTAAATTCAGACGAGAATTATTTTCGAGAACTGTACAACGAATCGTTTTGTTTCTCTAATGATTTAATGAAACGTAAAAGCTTCCGCCCGCGGGGGAGAATCTTAAAAAGGGGGGGGGGGGACCTGAATTCAGACGAGATTTATTTTCGAGAACAGTACAACGAACCGTCTTCTTTTTCTAATAATTAAATGAAACGTCAAAGCTTCCGAGTTTCGCGGAGGATGGAGGGGGAAATTCGCCCCTCCCTGCACCTGCACCTGCACCCCGCGCCTGGCCCGTACCCCTTGAGCTTCGGGGGGCTTCGCCCCTTGAACCCCACCGGGGCTTTGCCCCTAGACCCCACTTTGAGAAACGTAATTCAGCGGGGCCTGCATGTTAGAGTGGGGTGATTCTGATTATTTTTTTTGTCAGCCCCCCCAAACGTTTTTGCTCATTACGCCACTGCTGAAGTTTAGTGTATCATCATATCCTTCAGCACAGAAGCTTCTGCCACAGCCAACTTTAGATGAAGTATCCCACACCAACTATAAATAAATAAAGGAAAAAGAGGTGGGAAATAAATTAGAATATTAAATTGTGGATATTTACATGATCATTAGCAGGCAAGAAAACACTCTGTTACGGGTAATCAAAACGAATGATTTTGTGTAAAAATAATAATGACTTAAATAAAAAGAAAAGAGAAAACATTCACACACAATGAAGTCACTTCACTGCAAATTGTTTGCCATATTTTCTAACCATTATCAATTTGTCAATGTAGCTAACTTTAATATTTTAGAATTTTCCTCCAATAGCTCATAAATATAATGGTCCTCACCTGGGTGTAGTGGGTACATATCTTTCCTGGTTGGCAAGAGTCCGTTTCATAGTCATACCACTGCCATTCGTCCCACCAGCTGCTGATAGGACCAGAGCCGTCAGGTTGCTCATGCACAAGACCACGCCAGAGATTCTGACCGACTGCCACATTATCAGCCGCTGGTGGAAACCCATGCTCATAGTAACACCCATCAGACCATTCCTGAGCCCAGGCTGCCAACTCAGCATCCCATATCTACACAAATTCAAAGGTAATGTTTGATTTTAAAATCTATTGCATGGAATAGGTTCGAGTTTAAGGGTACCTACGATCAAAATAATACAGTTCAATTCTCTGTTTGGATAAGATTATAGGGGTGCGTTTCCTTTCTGGCCTAGAATCAGCGCTTATGAATTAGTTTCAAAAGTGTTTCTGGCAAATAGGTTTCTGCATGGTGAAAAACGAAGGCCTGTTTCCAAACGTCTTTAGATATGGTATATTGAAACGCCAAAAAAAAATTGGTTTTGAATGTGAGAATGGGCCAGAATCACGTTTCTGAGAGATGATAAACACAAAGCTGATTTGTATATAAACGCTGTTTCTGAGTGGCAAAATATGATAAACGCACCCTAGAGTAGACTAAAAGTATCAAGTTCACTATGAAATTGGGAGTAAATTAGAAAGAAATCACTTCTTTTGGTGTTAAATTTTCAGATTTATCTGCAACCTAGAGGTTCCCACAAAGTTTCTTCATAAAAAGTATGACTTTACAGGATTGGCATCATATCTTACAAACAACGATCATAAGTTTACTTTAGGAGTCTCGAAGCATTTCGTTTAACGTCCAAGTCACCGGGAGAGATAGCAAACGGTCTACCAAGAATCAATGTTGAAGTAGACGTAGAATACAGCATAACTATCGTACCATGGGAGATATTTTATTAAAACCCTGTATACTGCCCGATTAGTTGGCAGTGGTGAAGTTTGGCTCTAGCCTGATCAGTGAGGAGCCTCTGGTGCCATGTCTACCAGATTAATTGTATGCATTGTTTGATTACAACATGTACGATATGTCCATGTTTTCTGTTATCCAATATGTATTCTATGCTTATAGGCCCATCCCATAATGCTTACCATATAGTCCATGTTAGAAGCTGGAGGCGAGACCAGACGGCGATAGTTATTATGCAGATTCACCAAATTGGTCTCTTCTTCGGCACTGAAAGGCAACGGTGTTCCAGGAGTCGCTCGTTTTCCTCTGCTCTTGGACAGACCATCTTCAACCAGCAACAAACTGTTCTTGTACGAAGGTGCATGTTCAGTCTCAATTCCTTCTCTTAGTTTTGTCGGAGCATGTCGGCTGGCTTCAGAAACTGAAATGGGCATAAGGATAGAAATGATGGCAGCCCCAATTAAGAGCATATTCACAGTCATGAGAGAGGTCACTTCTAAACGTCTTCTATCCATTTTAGGCGAATTTAGGAATAAACCTGAACAATCCCTTTCAGTAATGTGTAGCTTCTGCGACTGCAGAATTGAAAACGACTACCGGTATCAAAGTCCAAAAAAAAAGACACATTATATAGTTTCTAAATTGCCGAATACCCGGATGAAGGACTAAATATGTATCATCTGAGTCACTGTCTGTCTTTATTCTAGCATTACATATTTCTTCTCGTGTTTACACTTTTATAAGGTAAATATACCAGATTGAGGCTCTCTTTCTCATTCTCTTTCATGTTCCTTCTCAGTACTGCTATAAAGTGGAAAAACAAGTAACATCCAGACAGCGCGATTAAATATGTATCAACAGGCATGACAATAGTCTCTCGCGTTTCCTTTTAATGTAAGCTCCTTTTCAACAAAATTGAGCAAATATGCTGTATCGGTAACTGTTTGTTGAAGGACTTGCAAGTTTGTTTGAAAGTAGTCTCACCTCGAAATCCAATATTATTGGATTTCGAGGTGAGACTACTTCTTCGCAAATATGCTTATTAAGTATATTTGCGAAGACTGAGGTACTTTTCTTATGAAAAACATCGTAAATAGGTCAACATTGAGCTGTACTGTATAGTTAATATAATTTGTCATTAATATTTGGCAGTATGGGGAGGAGCAAAAAAAAAATTAATCCGTGGAAGATCACTAAGTTCATGGGGAAATGAGTATGCCTACTTAATTAATCGAGTGTGGCTAAAAAAAAAATCAATCATTAGTTGCTCGTATCAACATGGAGACGATCTTGTGATTTCACTCCTACATGTATTTATCCATTAATCGTTTGGATTTATAGTGGGAATATATGTATATTAATCATGAAATTAAAGTACAACCCCGTAAGGTAGCCTGGCCTATAAAACACTTGCATTCACATAATTTAGCAATGTCGTATCTATTAAAGTCCGACTATACTTGCATTGTGGCTGACTTATTAAATTGTATTTTGTTTCTGAATAATCTCAGATAAATTCTCATTTATGAAAATCAAAAGACAGAACATGGGAATTCCCAAAGGAGAAAATTTATTCAAAAGTACGAATTCAAAAAAAATGTTAGTCCGGGCTAGTGACGTATCAACTGGGTTGGCAGGGTAAACGTGTCTCGGATCCCACTTTGACGGGAGCTCAATAATGGCAAAAGAGAGGGGGTGTGAAAGTACTCAAATGAGAAAGAAAAAGGCGGAGGAAAGAAAGAAACAATTATGTTCCGTGAGGATTCAATATCTGCGCCCCCAAACGCAGGTTAAAATGCAAATGTGAAACATTGTTAAAGGTCGGTCACGTTGCTCCCTTGCATATGTTGCTTCTGGATCTTGTAATTTCGCTCCCCATTATAAAATGTAATTTATATATGAGGTCTTAAAAGGTATATATGCAATTGTCGTTTCATTACTCCCTATAGTTTCATCGGCTTCTTGATTTTGCACCCCACCTCTGTTACATGTACATTTTATAAAATGGAATTTTGAAAGATGCTTACGTTAATTGTATGCATGTTATTGTTCATGTTATGTTAGCTCGTTAGCCCTAGCTCCAGCGACATTCATCCGGGGATATCGGACATGACATTTGATTGCTCATACGTACTACTTGTTTCCTGGCAACGTTCGGTGTTTCCCAGTGATGTGTTTTTGTTGACTCACAGTTTAATAATAATAATAATATTCCGCTTTTATAAAGCGCCCAATACGCCGATAAAACGATGTGTCTATTAGCGCTAAACAGATCATTATTACCCCGGTCATCGGATTCAGGCTTACCCGTACACAATGTTTGCACATTCTCCACTCCCTGGGAGCATTTCAGCCAGTCGCTATTTACAAGCACACACTTGCTCATCCAACCACATAAACTTTCGCATCGGTATCGGGTACCCATTTAACACCTGGGTGGAAAGTGGCGAATTTAACGTCTTGCCGAAGGACATTAGTGCTACGGCGGAACTCGAACCCCGTACCTTGTGATCTGTAGTCGTTGTTGTTGTTGTTGTTGTTGGGTTTTAAGGCTGACCATTATATACCTCACTTAAGAAATCCAGCCATCTGATTGGTCGAAATTGCAGTCGTGATTTTAGCCATTCCCCGTAAAAAAAAATATTAACAAAAAACAAAAAAACTCTACAGTGTCGGTGTTTCCCATGTAAATATTTGCCAGTGATGTGTCTTACGTCACAATCATCTACGCTTTGCTTTGTCGTATTATGATGTAAAGTTCATTGAACTGTTACGCGCTCATTATTATACGCGCAGAATGTGCGTATGACAATTGATACGCGCATAAGTCTAAAACAATGAAGATTTGTCCTGGCATGGCAACGTTCACGTACTGTGCATGTGAAATACAACGTCACGTCCGATATCCCCGAATGAATGTCGCTAGCTGGAGCTAGGGCTATACGCTAGCAAGTAACATTAACAATAAAATTCATCAAAGACTGTGAACAAGGAAGAAGTATCGAATCTGAAGAAAGAAAAAGTAAACTGATGTTTAAGATGGGCCTTCCAATGATGTTGCAGCGATACTGTTGGGCTGCTTGCTTGGTCATTTGCATTGCAATCAGTTCTGTTGACGATGTTGGCGCGGAACAAAACTATGGTCGGGAAGGTGAGCAACCTAGATTCTAGATCTAGATCTAGTCTTATTGTTAAGTTTCGATTATTAAATAGAGTTGGACTCTATCAATCATATTAATTAACAAACAACAGTCTAGATCTAGACCTCTTTTTAGAAATTATTAACGTTAAAAAAGATCTACTAAATTTGATATAGACCCTCTAGACTAGACTAGACTCTAGATTCTAGGCTACAGACTAAGAAAAGATTAAGAAAGTTAGGTCGGACTCCGAGTTCTTGCTTGATAAAGATTTTGTTCGCATCCTGATTCGAGTCACGTGTTACGTGTTGGTGTTAAGTTGTGTTTCCGATCCCCACTGCACTAGTTCTTAGTTCTAAAGGCAAAGCTGTCTCTTGTCAGTGCCACTTTCTTGGATCTTGGATTCTTTTCCTCCTAAATACTCCGAAGAAGAGTTTTGACTGGAGGTGGTGGAGGGTGGACAATTACATTTTGGAAAAAAGTTCTTTAAGTAACTGCATTTTTAAATGAGAGTGGGGAGGTTTGGTCGATGGTTGCTTGTTGTAGGTTGTTCCATGTCTTTACAATTACAGTCCTTGGGAAATATGAGTTGGCATAGACGTCCGAGTTGGTGTGGCGAATTTCAAATTGGTTGGAGTGTCCTCGTCTACGTCTGTCTGGCTTAGGGTTGGTGTGAGATTGGTAGTCGATGTCGAGTTGTCCCATTTACACAGACACGTTGCAGTCTCTTTGTCAGGAAACTAGATGTCCATCTCTTAGTCTTATTATTTGCTCGAATACCATAAAAGTCTAATTTCATGAGGAGACGCTGGTGCAGGATGACATCAAAAGCCTTTGAAAAATCAAGCACTGCCATGTCTGTGGTGATATTGTTGTCTAAGTTCTTGGCAAGGTCATTTGTTGTAAGGATGAGCTGAGATTCACACGACCTGTGTTTCCTGAAGGCATGTTGATTTCCAGCCAGGATGTTATGCTTGGCCAAGTGTCGCATCAGGTTACTGTCTATGATGTGCTCTTATAACTTACAGCATGTGCACGTCAAGGAAATGGGACGGTAGTTTGCAGGGTCAGTAGTAGCACCCTTCTTAAACAGCGGGGTGATATTCGCCTTTCTCCAATCTCGGGAGAGATCTCCGGTGTCCAATGACTGCTGAACTATAAACTGTAGTATGGGAGCAATCTCCTCTGCTGCGATCTTTAAAGCTTGATTTTGGATTTGGTCTGGTCCAATTGCTTTGGCTGTGTTTATATTGAGAAGAAATTTGTTGACACCTTCAACGTCAACTTTGCATTTGAGTTTCTTGAGAAATACTGATCTAGGTCTAGAAAATCTAGAGTCTACATTAAAGGGAAACAGCAATCATGAAATGGACGTCATATAAATATAGGCCTATGTCATTTATTTAACTTGAGAGTGCACTGTAAAAAAGAATTTGTTCATTGGTAATTTTTACGTAGTTTTTCCATGTAGAATTTACTTGAAAACATTAGTTTTGCCACTTACGCACTAAATTTAAGTCTTGCCAACTCAAACTTTCAATTTAGTAGAACATACGTGGAATATTTAAGTAAAATCAAATACATAAGAACTTTAAGTAATTTCAGCTTGTATTAATTTAGTAATTTTAACTCAAAATCAGAAATTATACGTATTACTCAAACAATTTATGTTGATTATTCTTATCTTTTTAAAGTAAGGACCGATGCAGTGCGTAATAGAAATATTTACATAATTTATGAATATTCATTAAGACCAAATTAAACTCTTTTTTAAATAAAACAATTCTTTTTTGTGGTTGAATGAAAATTTAAGGACTTTAAAACATTTACTAATTCATTTAACATGGCTAAGCAATGACAAGACAATTTTTAATTGTTACCCAGTTCAAAACAAATCAAAACTTGATATTTCAGGAAATTGTCAACCAATTTTCCTTTTAAGATGCTACGATCAAGTATATATAAAATTTGGAGCCTTTCAGTATGTGTCGAATTGAAGCGTATGTAATAGTTTGTGATGGTGGTAGATATATATATATATATACGGTTAAATCTTAAATAGAAGTAGTGTTAGTGATTAGTGATTAATCTTAAATAGAAGTAGTGTTTAACACTTAGTGATTAGTGATTAATCTTAAATAGAAGTAGTGTTAGTGATTAGTGATTAATCTTAAATAGAAGTAGTGAATGATTAGTGGATGTTACTTGTTAGATTAGATGGGTACCAAATCGTGCAATATGTAATCCTATCATAGCTTTTTTTTAATTATCTAAAATGATTACAATACTTAAAT